TGCTGGGATGCGCTGTTGTGAGAAATACCCGGGCTACAGGTGTGAGCGCAAATGCCCTTGGACCCCGTGGAAGATCCTGAGATGTAGGGAATGAACCCGCGCCCTCAGCTGGTTTCTCTTCCTCCTTCTTGGGCTTCCCCTCAGCCTCCAAACGCTTCTCCTTCTTGTCCTGGGACTCTTTTGCCACGCCCTTGTCTTTCTTAGCAAATCTATGCCTTCTGATCTTTCTCTTCTTCTTTCGTGGGATCTTCGGCCTCTCGTCGTCTACCTCGACTTTTTCCTCTTCCTCTTGGGGCTTGTTCGGCTCCTCCTCACGTTGGTCTCTCACTCTGCCTCTGTCCTACTCTCCTCAGGAGCCACCTTGCTCCCGCTTTCAACCGACAAACCTGCAGCCTCAAGCGCTGCACGTACAATAGGAGCAGCCTCCTCCACAAGGTCAGTCAATGCCCCAGCTGCAGACCGTAGTGCCTCCAGTACCGCACTCTATTGACTCCTCAAGAGAAGGCCCATGGTCACAAACTCCCGGATGCGCCGAAGGGTTCTGCAGCACTGCCACGGTGAACCGTGGAAGAGGCGGTAGGTCAAGCAGCTCATATTGCTGAAAGCGACACACTAAGCAAACAAAAGGTTCACGTGCATCTTAAATTCCGGGGGCGTAGTTGAATTATATTGTATATAATATATATATATATATATGTTGTGGAATTGCTGGACCAAAAAATGCATCACGTCAATTGTCTTCTCAAAATAGTTCTGGTTCAGTCTTCTGGGGTTGGTCAGGTGTGGTCCGGATGTGAGTCGAGAATCGGTTGGGGAAGAAAACTGGGACACCAGCATGGGAGTGGAACATGACCACTGAAAAACATTGGTGTGTGAGTGAATGGGGATTAGTTGGAGTGGATACTGCAAGACAAATGAAGCTTGTGCTTGTGAGTCTGCACTTTGAATGAGTCATCTGACCGACGCAGCGGACTCGACGAGTCGAACTCTTCACGAATTGGATCTGGTGAGCCAAATCAAGTAGACTTAGGTGGACGGTCCACGAAAGAACCACATGATTCACCATTCAAACAATACAAAAATGAATCATGAAAGTGCTTGGATAGCAGAGGTTCCAACAGAATCCCACATGATTCACCTTTCAACTAAACAAACAAACAAAAATCATCAAAATAAATTTGAATGTTATGTTACATGAGAATCATGTTATGTTCCATGGTTCATGAGTACCCCTCCTGATCAAGACCCCTATCCCTTAGAAAGAGGACCACATGATCTGGTCGCATCATGTTGCAATCTGGGTTTGGGAGGTCTCCCGATTTTAAGATCTCCAAAATTCTCCAAACGTGCTGCAAATCATCCACCAATGAATGATCTTTGCTTCAATCCCATGCCCTCTGGGCAAGCTGGGGAATGAAGCATCGACCTTCTGCTGAGCTGCAATCTAATTTCACGTAGCCGGGACTCCTGGAAAAGCACACCAAGTGAAAACAATGCAGCGTGATGTCAAGAGATGCCTTATGTGCTTCTTTGACTCTGACTGAAACGAAACAGTGAACCTGTCAATTGTTATCAGAATCAGCAGCATCATCTGGAAACAAACAAAAGGTGGAGGCCATTGCTATTAGGTTGAAGGCCATCCCTAGTAGGTTGGAGGCCATCGCTACTAGGGTGGAGGCCATCGCTACTAGGGTGGAAACAAACAAAAAGAACACACGTTTCAACGTGTTCTTCTTCAACATATCAACTCCTCACTTCGGCTGCTGCGGTCACGCTCCCGGCGGTCTGGAGAACCCGGGCGGAGAAGATCCAAAGAGCTTGGAAAGGAGCAGGTCTTGTGATGTTCAAATAAGTGGACATGTGGGCCCCGTGGGCACTAAAAGCTAGCATGGCTCAGCAAATCATGAATTCAGCTGCTATGCTCACTTTTAGGTTTACCCTCTAGAAGCGAGAATGAGAAGACTACAAGTATAACTAGTGAAGACAAATTGTCTCCACTAACTGGGCCATGTAGGCCCCAATTTCATCTTTACTGTGGCTATTTTATAGTGAACTACTCGTATCACTCGAGTCTTCAAAACAAACTGTTCAAACCGATTTGAAATACAGTAAATTGATCAATTGTGGTCTTCACCAGGTGTTGCCATTTTACACTTTATTTCTACATATATTCATCATTATTTCTCCATATGTCTCCTCTTCGTTGTCATGGAGTTGCCACATACTTTTCGATGTGGCCAGGTCGAAAAGGTTTCGGGTCTTCTTCATCCAAACAGCAGGCGCCGGTGCCTCTTCTCTCTCGACCATTCACTCTCTCCTGGACGCAGCGATTTCTCCATTCTGTTCGGTGATCTTGCGTGTGGCTGCACAGGGCTACTTGGCTGACTCCATGCTGTCAGTGGAAAGACGGCCAAACTGTCAAACTCTTAAATGACGCAAACAAAACATTGACAACACCAAACTCAGCCAATTCCCAAAAAATAAGTGATGTGAAACCCGCGTCTCAGCGTCTCAAGCTTGGGCTTTACATCACAAAGCTCAGGTGGACACGGACATGTCCATGAAAACAAGTTTTTGTGTTTTTCTCCCAGCTTTGATGCCGGTCATCCACGTGGAGGAGCATGTGTCGATCTGGAAATAGTATACAGGGAGTCTTCCTATTCTACACATGAATAATCATCGGTAGATCAGGTATATCGATTCGAAAGATACTGTTGGAGAACACTGAGAACACCTCTGGCATTCCCAGTCCAGTGACATTCCTCTGTGATTGAGGTGTTGATATCTTGCTCAGTCTTGCTCTCAGACCAAATCATCATAGCATTGGATTGCAGTACAAACAAACCCTTACCGTACCCAAACACTCCATGTGACTACTGTATATATGCTTACATTGTCCCCATTCCAACCACCCGAATTGATGTAGATATGCCCATGGAGTGTCTGGGCTTCTGAATCCACCGGTTTTCTAAGAAAGGTCTTTGGGAGTGTGGTATTTCTGGCATTTTCTGGGGGGTCCAGCTTGGTCCAGCTACCGTTTGAGCATGCAATGGATCACATATGGTCACATACAGAATATCTATGTCCTTTCCTTAAAAGACATGGATCGGTGGCATACTATATCAATTGTCACGCACTGGGTCTGAACCCCCGATCTTTCGCAGTCCAACTCCAACGTCGTGTCGCTTTCTCGACGCCGCCGACTCCGAGCCCCGAGCCGCCCAGAGATCGCCCGTCCTTCTCCCGTTTCGAGCGCCGATAGTCACTACCTTGGGCGTCGACAGTACTGGTGTCCAAATCGGACAACGGAGACGGTTGGATCGGAAAAAGACTGTTGTGGGGCCAGTCGTGCAGTTGTAGGATGTTGTAGGCCCCACAGGCCATCAGATCGGATCCCAAAAGGTCCAATATCTCACTGCTTCTCAGGCAATCCTTGGAGTCTGGCTCAAGACTACTAAGGTCATCAACCACACCGCTGGAAACGATATTGAATGAGAAATGGCACATGTCTACTGGACTGTCGGACTGAGTACACACCGAAAGGTCCAAATTCCCAGCAAGGTCCTGGTACCTTCCCAAGCCCGAAGAAACACGTCATCAGCAAGGTCCGCGTCTCATCAACTAGTTGACCTCAATAGACAGGTGATTCAAAACCCGGCCGCAACCCCTGTCCTTTGCCTTTCGCAATCAGCATAAATTTGATAGATTCTTTATATATATATATATAAATTATATATATATTTATAGTATTTTATAGTATGGATATGGATACTATTATGGATTATGGGCTATGTGTTGTATGAAAATAGGGAGATCACCCTATTCCTGGGCTCCGTTGATTGGCTTAGGAGCTCTCCTGTCATGTGATGGTTTGAGGTCCTTTCAGCCCACCACCGGTCTCTTTGAGGCATCGGCTCTCATCATCACCTAGGCGTGGCTTTTTTGCGTGCCGAACCAATAAAGGGGCCAATTCCGCGGACGAAGCCCATGCAAACCCGGTGGTGTGCAATCCACAAGAGACTTCATTGATATTAATTGACGGTTCTGGTTGCAGCCAGTGCATTGTTAACTACCAATCTGTGATCGTAAACCCCACGACATGAATACAGTACGAAGACCAGTTGCGGAACTGATTCCTGGTGCGCATGTCAGAGATGCATATCTTCCGCTGCAACCCTTTGTGTCATGGTCGATCTTCCCAGCGAGCGATTCGTGGGGTTTCTTCGACGAGCCCCCGAGCAGGTTGCGGTTCCCCAGGTCGCCTGGGTGCAACCAGGTCGCCTGGGGACGTCTTGGGAATGGACCCCACCACCGGATCAATGTGCTTTTCATTTCGTGAGTTGAGCGCTCCGTTTCAAGAACTGGGCTGGTTTCACCTTGCCCAAGGAGCGACGCCAAACAAACTGAAAGGCTCGGCGCTTCTTCGCGTCACAACACAAACTGTGTACAACCAGTCAAGCACTCACATCGTCCGATTCCCAGGCCGGCCATTCGATCAAAGAATCTAACACAAACGGCATCCGCTAAAAAGAGCGGCTGTAAAGGAGTTGGAAAGTCAAAACGAGCTAAACTTCGATCACATTCGAACACCGACAACACCACCACACTAACACAGACCCAAACCTGCATCCGAATCCATGAAGCCAAAACTTGCAGGACACTGAACCATGAATCCACAACACCCGTCTCGTTTCTGCTCGCTAATCTGAAACCAACGCAACCAACTTTCAAGCGTAGCCACCGCCCCACCCCCCTCCCCCCTTGGTTCTACTTGCTCATCTGACACCAACGCAACCAACTTTCGAACGTAGATAGCAACGCACCCCTACACTCAAATGTTGTGTATCGCTCTCCCCAGTCTCTCTGCGGGTAAACTACAAAAGCACTGCAAATACCAGCAAAAATAATGCAAACCGCTGTAAAACACAAACCGGTACAAAGTACATCTGGGATTTGCAGGCTTGTTCATGCCTGCTGATACAACTTCCGTAAGTGCAGTGTTAGGCGCTGTAGGCCGGCTTCCTTTCTTTCTTTGTCTCCTTCTCTTTGGCCTCTGCCGTCAGCCATGAAGCACAACCTATGAGCAGTTCCACGGTGGTGCCTTCCGAAGGTTTGTGATTGAGACCTGAAAACATAACCTGTGGCTGAAGAAATCTTCCTGTTAAATCTCGTAGTCCTCACACCCGCTCACACCTGACAGGGTTTGAGAAGCCTAAACAAGGTCACCAGACTCCATCATTCGAGTGTACAAAACATGCAGGAAACCAATCCAAACCGTAAGCACTATGTGATCGTGGAAACAGGTCCATCCTTGCTGAAAACCAGTGGACACACACTGGACACGTATATTCAAAAGGCCATGAACATCAGCAGAATGACACCAACAGGACTCGACCATCAGCTTCCCTGAATATAAATAAAGGAAGCTATGACAGCTATGATGTGTTCTTCTATACAATGTCATGCTAAATCAAACCGAACAGGAAGCTCCAAGAAGGCAAGCTCCACGTCATTCCCAAAAAGGGATTTGCAAAAACTCATAACACAATGGAGGATCATAGAGGATCCTTCTCATACTTGGTATGGAACACCAACAAATTCCAAACCACAAATGAAACTTGTGAGCCATCCTGCGTCCTAAGTGGTAGCAATGTTGTAGCTACTTAAGCTACTAGCTCACCTCTACTAGCGGCCTGATCTACCCTAAACAAAATCAAATAATGGGTTGTGGATGGTTGTGGTATGTTGTGGTCTATCCCTGGGGGTCGAACTCCAGGGACTCCCGATGATACACAGCCACCGGCCCCAAGCGGCACCCGCCGCACCCGCCCACACGCCCGTCCTTCTTCTCCTTCGGACGGCGCGGCTCGCTCGCGGAGCTTGAAAGCATTTGCTTGGCCTTGGCGATGGCCTGCAGCGTGAAAAGGCGTGCTCAAGCCTTGGGGTGTAGCAAAAACGGGGCGGCGTGTGTTGCCAAACTGAAACCCCCCAAGATCCCCCCAAAGGGCCTTTTGCTTGTGGCCCTTTCTATAGCCGCCTTCATCGCCCTTGGATTTGCTTAAGGAACCTGGACACAATAAAATCCAGAAGAGGGTTTACCCACAGGGAAAAGAAAACATCACCCATCACCCTATTCAAAACCAGGCACCCCATGCAAGTTGGTCTTAAGAGGTCTGTCCAGGAGGCCTCAGTTCCAATTGGCCAGAACGACATCAAGGAAGTTCAGCGGACTGATTTTCATTGATTTTCCAGAGTGCAACAACTCGAGGGGCCGCAGGGGCGACGCAGCCGTCTGGATGAAGTCTGGATGGTCGATTCAGGACTCTGGACTGGCTTGGAGGCTACAAAGACTCGTCTTTCGGAGGTACCCTTCGCGGCTTCGGAGGGGCCCGGGAGCACGATCCTTGGGGGGAAGGGCTGCCAGTTCTTTTCAGGCATTGCTACTGGAGGGTTTGCCCGGACGAAAAAAACAAAGGGCAGGTCAGGTCCGTCTCGGTCCGTCTCTCCTTTTGACGACCGATCCCAGAACGTTTGGTTCTTGCGACGTCGGTCGAGGAATTGGACCAAAGAATGACAGAATGACATGGAATCTTAAAACAAAACACCCAATTTACCGTGTGAAAAAGAGTTTTGTATCAATGTTGTTATCAATATGTCAATGATTATCAATGTATTGGACCAACGAAAAAGACCTTCCAAATGGATTCAACGTGATTCAAAAGGCAGCGAAAACGACTCAGGGAAGTCCCATGCGGTTCACCAGCCCTTGGTGTCTGCCCTCGCTGCAACCGTTTGAAGCTCCGCCGAACGACGCCCCGAGAGCGGCGTTGGGACCGCTGTGAGGCCGGGCCTTCTTGTGCGCTTTGTCGGCTTTCTTCTGGGCCTCAAATTCGAAGGGATCTGATAGATGTTCATACTTTTGATCTTGTCTGTAGAGGCAACCCAATTCTGAGTGAGACCAACTCCGACCAACCCATCATTTCCAGCCAAGATTCACTGGCAACATAAGAACAATCTTGCTTTGTCACCAGCCATTACGAGTCCATAGAACCACCGTGGTGGTTAGACCCCTTCCGCACCCTTCACAGGGGCTTGATTCAACGGGCATCACTTCATGCTTCCTTTCGGAATCCTTTATCATTCTTGGGGTCGATGACGGTCCATCTAAAAGTAATGTATACATCCTGCGCAAGACGGTCGATGACGGTCATACCCACCGCAAGAGCCTCATGTTTTGAACACCAACCCCACCCCACCCCAGTTAAACACAGGTTCCCCAGCACCCCCGCCCAACGAATCGTTCACCCAGGGCGCCAGGATCACCTGCTTCCGTGTCTGTCGGAGCTCCCGCTCCGCTTCTTCGATGAGGCGTTCCCGCTCCTGAAGCTGTGTAGGGCCCCGGAGGGCACACGCTTTGGTGGGGGGAAGGCAGTGGAGTACAGGTGAGGAGCAAAAGCTGCGTCCACGCGATTTGCATGCATTGAACATTCATGGGCTGACACACGATTGACCCGATTGATTGCTTGATTGGACCAAAACCCGCTCCTGCCGTGCTTCCCTCTCCAGCTCCATCTTCCGTGCACGGCCGGCCTGGCGCAAACGCTTGGTGATCAAAGCACAGTGCAACAAATTCATCTACCTCCCTGATATACTGCAATCATTGGAAGTGGAAAACCACCTGCTTGTAGAGGAACATGGTCATCCAAGGGGCCATGACTGGCCATGCCATCCACTTCCATGATGATTAGCGTGTAACCAAAGCTGGACTGACCGTCAAACCGTTTCAAACCCTGGGAGCAGCATGCTGCTCTTAATGCGTCGGGTGGTCGCACACATTGACGTCGCTGCAGTGTTTCATCAACTCCTGATTCTTACGAAATATTCGGCAACCAGAAGAATCAAGCTCACCATGCTTCGCAAACAAGTTTTCTCTCCAGTTGTGTTTCTGGAAACGAAGAGATTCATTGGGTCTATCCCATTACCAGCTGTAACGTTAGTAAAGGCCTTTCTTTAAAATATATACTTTACCGACTGATACAGGTAATGGGACAGACCCAATATATAACTATTTGGTCCTTCAAGCCCAGGAGGACACAAAAAGGAAGGCACGAACAGAACTAGGTTTGAGAATTTTTGAGAAGCTTGGATCACAACAATATGTTGATTCATACCACATCAAATCGCAACTCTTGTCTCACCTACCCACAAGATACTGTAACAACCTTGGAACTCATCAAGGTGATCTGCGCACGTTTCTTTCACGTTGCCTCGCTTGCCATTCCTTGATTCTTGAAACATGTTTCTCGAGCACCGGTCCCAATTTCCAATTCTGACCTCCGGTCCCATCTGGATGCGTTAAGGACCCGTGATAGACCCGTGCAGTTCCGGCCACTTGTTTCGTTCTCCGCGAGCGGACCGGGGGCCTCCTCGGCCGCTTGCCGCTCATCGTCGATGGACTGGTCCATCTCCATGCGAAGCCTGGAGAGGTTGAGCGGGGGCGAAGGCATGAGAGGGCATGCTATATTGCAAGGATGGATTGAACATGTAAGGTGTAACTGCTTGTGTTTCTGTGCCAATATGATTCTCTTGGTGCATGCAGCTTTGCACATGGGCATTCTTGTTTGATTTGAATGGTTTTGTATAAATAGTTTATCGAGCCTAAGAACCTGACCCATAGCCTTCAATGACCAAGTTGAATTGAGTATAAGAGTTCGACTGCATAAGTTTCATTGCGTGGTTTGTGCATCATCACTCTTTCTTGGTGCAAACAAAAAGCATATTATATAGTAACAGTACAAGTAAGTACACATGAGTGTTACCTGGTGTTTGTGACGCTGTCTACAACTTTGTTGAGGCCTTTGTTGTGGATTTGGTACAATGTTGGCATGATTTAAACAAAAAACACATGTATTTACTCGAGCCTTGCACGCTCCTGAAACAGTTTGAACCCAATAATCAAAATGAGCGTGCCTACCAAACTAATTCGTAATCGTGCTAATCGAAAACAATACCTGTAATCCGAGCAATCAGTCACCCGTAGTAATCCACACTCCTCATAATCCGTAGATCGTTCACTTCGCCCAGGATGGAGACAGTTCACCCGGCAGAGCAAAAAGCAACAAGGAAACATCGTCTAACAGCATTCTCCCTAGAGGTGTGTTTGATGTCATGGGGCGACCCCGTCCCTGGCAGGATTCCAAAAAAGAAACATCCACTCGCGCCACTGTGGTGTGGGGTTCTCCACCTGCAGCCACCCTCACAACCCTCACCGAACCAATCCCCCATGACCTTGTTGACATTGAAGTGGGGGTTGATCAATCCTAATTACTTGTGCATTAGGGACCCTCACAACCCTGATTTGGAAGCAACCAATCCAAACCTCTGAAGTGAGGGTTCTGGATTTTTCTGCTCATAGCCAAAGCTGATTACCTTGACTACCTAGGAAGAGAAAGTTCTGATCCATAAGCCACAAGTCCCATAACGAGGGCTCTGAGTTCTACTCCGTAATCCATGCAACACCGGGCAATCCGATAGTTTGTAATCCGTAATCCTCCCTAGAAGGATTGCGGGCCGCGGGTGATGAGGCCAGTAATGCCTACAGTAGTTTTCATGATGTGTGTTTGCCTGAACAACTAGCTCGCAGGACTGATTGTCAAGAAGGACTGATTGTATTCCTAGCCTGAAGGACTCAAGGACCAAGCTTGTCCGGAAAGATCCAAGGTGTGGGACCGAAAGCAGATGAAAGCAGGTCCATGGCCCAAATGCTGAGTCATGGTTTTGCATTAACCGCATGTGGTGTTCATGTTTTGAGTTTTGAATGCAAAGGAATTGTAGGCTCCGGCTGTTTGTTGGTGCCACACCCAGAAGATACATTGCAAGTACTTGTGGTGATTTGATCAGTCAAAGCGATGCATCGAGAATGCGAGGTTTTTCACATGACACCTTTGAAGGTGGGTGAATGGGCCTCATAATAAAACTAGATCTTAGAGTAGTGAAACTAATTACTGGTCTTGGTTGAAATACTAAATATGCTTGTAACTTTGTCTTTCCACAACGACAAAGTTTATCACTTGTCCCTAGGAAGGCAAGGGTGATGATAGGTAATTTATCTCCAGCAAAGCTACGTGATCCAAAGAAAGAACTAGTATACCAACTACCAAACCTGTCTTGGCAAGAAATAAACACACGACCTGTGCCCGTCACTGCAAGCCTTCCCCACTCGCTGGTACCGCTGCCGTCCCCACGTCCGCACCTCCGACCCCTTCGACCCCACGGCGCGTCGGTCGCCTCCGTTCGGCTTCGGCGAGTTGGAACTCCATCTCCCGCTGCGCACGCTCGCGCGCGATGTTCACGGCTTCTTCCACCTCCCGCGCCACTTCCTCGGTCGCATGCCACGAAAAAGAGGGACCAGGGGGAGTGAATGGTGTGCAATCTGCAAGGTGCACCCGAAAACGATTAATAAGGGCATGATTCTTGACAATTCTTGACCCTACATCAATCTTATATTAACCGGTCTTTGCCAAATCCACCAATCTTGCTCGATTCCTGCGCCCCAATCAGCGGAGGATTTTACGTACACATCATCCCACGACTCTCGGCTTGGCCAAAACGTCGCCACCCACCAGATTGACCATCGCACGAGCGTCATCCTCGGCCTTGCTGTTTTTGAGCCTCTCCTCGTCGCGGGCATCGGCCTCGACCCGGTTCACACGCTCCTGACGGCGTGTGTTTGAGCGGTTCGAGCATGTTCGAAGCATTCAATTAGGGCCAAAATTCAACATCTCCAACACTCACTTTGGGTCCAATGAAAGTCCTATGAACGAGGTCGTCGTTAAAAAAGAAGAAACAACAAAAGCTCAACTCGAGATGTTAGGAATTGTTTGGAATTGTTTGGATATGTTTGGATAGAGGTCCTTCACATGGAAAATTGCTCGCACAAAAAACTGAACTGACCAAACAAATAAGTTAAATAAAAACAAACATGGTCATGATGTTTTTCTCATTCTATGTCTTCCATGTCTATGACACGGTCTATGATCTGGTGCCATTCCTCTTGCCTGGGCAGCCTGCACCGCGGCTTGAAGCTCTTGGAGGCTGCTCGAGGGGCCGCCACTTCTGACATGTGAAAAAAAGAAACGGGAACCGGTCAGCCACACAAAAATCAATCCAAATCCCAAAAGCTGCTCAGCTTTTTCTCATCTTCTCACCACCAAAAGTCTGTCGATCGATATCTTTGTCCACAGGATCTTGGTGCACAGAATGTGTCAGAAACCTTTATACTTTTTTTCCAACGTGTTTACAAGGCTCGTGGCTTTTGGAGCATGCAGCTCATCATTCTATCTATCTCCTTCTTTGGGAACCTGAGGAGTACTGATGGACACCCCTCCATCTGGGAACCGAATCCTGACGTTCACAGAGTTCCGGTGTTTGATCTGGTCTTTTGATGGTGTTGATCTCGGCTCGGAGCTCCTCTTTTGAGAGACAAGCCCATGGTGATCCCATGCGTTTTTGAGAGACAAAGCCTCTGAACATGTTGGACCTGATGAAAAATGTTTAGCACAATTATGTCACCAAGCCACTCGTTGTCGCTCGCATTCACTTTGACCTGGAGGGTGCAGGGAAGGCTCCCGTTGAGGCGGAACGAGGGTGCAGGGAAGGCCATGTTGGAGTTCGAAACAACTCATATCAGGCGTCAGTATTATTATCCCATACCCTCCTGCAAGTATGACTGAACCTGTTTTCAGCTGTCTCTAACGAAGCCCTTCTTTTTTCACACGCTTCTTCGAACATCGACTGGGTGTTCGTCGCGGCAATACCCGGAGGAGTGAGGAACGTACTGCGCGAACATGAGCCGCTGTCTTGAGTTGTAGCCCTTTGTTCCTAGCTTTTTGCGATGCCCTTTGTTCCTAGTAGCAAGGAGTACAACACGGCCTCAATCAAACAAACATGGCAACTCTGCCCGAAAAAAGACGCTCTCCGATTCCCGCCTGGGGCTTCACTCTGGGTGAACTGCTGCTGGAAGCTGCTGTTCTCCGTGCCCGGGTACGCTCCTTCGGGGAAGCATCCTTCCGCGTGCGCCCGAAGCTGTCCTGGAGTGTTTGAACAAGTCTTCAGCAGCTGTACGGGTCACCTCTTTGTGATTTTCTGGGTGACGTGGGAGGATGTGGGGGGTGGGAATGTTGTGAGAAAACGCCAGCGAGTGGACTGCATTGAGGATTTGGAGGCCTTGGACACATTGGGGAGGACCTGCGAAAATCACTCCTATAGGAAATCGAGGTTCAATGTCCTATGTAACATTATGTTCTAATCCGGAAGGGATCATGCTACAGATTTACTGATATATACAGCCCCAAAACATTGCCTCTCATGCACCAACACAATCGTGTGCACACCACTTACCCACCAGCGGGGTACAGTATATATACATACCTTGGCATGAACAAACCTTGACCTTCCAAAACCACTACAATTCACTACATACAAAGATTTATCATCTTTGCCTTGTAGTCATTGTAGTCAACTCACCAAGGTACTTGCTCCATCCAAATCCATTCGGCATCTGACCGTCATCGCCCGATGGTCCGCCGTCTCCTGGCTGCTCTCGCTGCTCTCGTACCTGCAGCTGCTCGCAGCTCGGAAGGGCGAGCGCCCACAGGTCCCAGGGCGAGTGCCCAGAGGTCCCAGGGCCATCTCCGAGCGCCCAGGGCGTCCCAGGGCGTCCGGGAGACTTGAAGACTTACGGACTTGAGAGACCTGTTTCAGAATCCGCCTGGAGACCCATCGGACCCATCAGTCACCAAACGGTCAAAGCTTGCAAACGCCATGCTTCACCCAACTGCCCCCCACCGCCTGCGACGCCGGCGCTCGCGGCGCTTCTCGCGGGGCTCGCTGGGCTCACTACCTGGGAGAGTGCTTAAAAATTGCAGAAAACAGGACTGGTCCGGGTGCGACTTGGGAATGATCCCCCAAGAGTCTCGGAATCCAAACAGGATCCATTCCCTCATTAAAGTCGATGAAAGTGCACAATCGCCTTGTGTTGCGAGCGCCAATTGCTCTACAAGGGTTTTTTGGGGGAGTGCTGGCATTCCTGGATTTCAAGATGAAACATGAAGCGCAGGGTCTGGCGTGATCGATGGAAGCAGTTTGCTTTTAAAAACATATACATTGATAAACATGCGATTAATCAACACCCACGCGCGGCAAAATCTACCTGCGGTTGCAATCATATATATATATATATTTATTTGTTCTATTACTATTATATTGTTACTATGTTACTATTACTACTTTTACTTGTTTTTAGTTTTATGATGTGCTGTATTATTAGTGTGTTATTAGTGTTTCATTATTGTTTTATTATTACTATTTATATTGCATATAAGTATAAGTGAGCCGGCCACCGAGGGCATCTTGTTTTAAGTGCGGGGTACTTCAGCAACTGGGGACCAGTCATGTCCTCCAAGCGTCATCCAATGCATCACCTGGTCTGGACATGTCTGTACCGTCTAACCCGAGTTTTTGATGGTTTTCCAGCAGGTTCATCAGGTTTAAGACAAATCATTGGATCTCCAAATCCAAGCGAGCCACTACTGCTGGGTGGGTGCCGTCCATTGCGCTGCTGTCCTGAATGACGCAGCGAACACAGAGAGTGCACTCAAATGGAACATCGAAGTTTTACCATTTCGGGAGGGGGAACACTAGATTCTGACCATTGAGGGAAAACAGGTCACATAGCCTCCTATAGCCTCCCTTCGAAAGTCACAGTAAAATGAGTCCACCCTTTCTGTTCAGAACCTTCAGCCTCCTTCAGGAATTCCGGAATGCACTGCATGACCAACTCCGTCTCAGCCAAAGGCTCGGTTGATACGACTTTGAACTGAACGGACAAAGTTCGTCACCAAGGCTGAGTAGTTCCCCTCGCCCTCTCCTGAGCACAGCCACAAAACGGTGAACTCATGTGGATGATACAGAAACACCCAGTGCGACTCCTCCATTTGCACTTTGTGTGTAGGGCAAAGCCGCAAAGCCCAAGTGGATGATACAGGGCTTCAAACGGAAAACGTCGTCACTTCTGAACAAGCTGGGCACCTGTTCCATCCAGAATGAGACGCACTCTCGAAGTTCGACTTTGTGGGCCTCGAGATGTGCTACGTACTGCCACTGCCGATCCTGAAAAGATCCGCTTGATAAACCCTTATGTATCCTTAGTATCCTTATACAAAATTATAGAATGTGTTTCCCTTAATATCCAACCTAAATGCTGGGACCAGGCTCGCTTGGGCCGGAACTCAGCCAGCACCGTGGCTAGCACCTGCCCAGGTCCCCGTTGGCATGCACCGGGGACAGAGTGAAGGCCATGCAAACCAGCGCATGCTGGGGGGGGGAGCGGATCCTTCCCCTTTAGCGGATCCCAACGGCACGACCAGAGCTGGGACTGCCAGTCCGGACTGCCGAGAAACGGCCAGGGGTGGTAGGGTGGTTTTGGGAGTCAATGGGGTTCATATAGGGCAGTCCCATGGAGTGTCTGGGAACAGGTACGCATCTCCAAATCACATTTGGGTCTCACTATCTCATCGATGTGGGTCTCACACGGAGGGATTGTGCCAGGTGAAAAGTCTTTAAAGGAGGAGAAACCGAGACCGGAGGAATCCAGTAAAGCTTTGTGAGCTCTTTCTCCCTCTCAAATTGGACATGGATTGCCTTCAGGTTGTCAGAGGTAGTGCACCTCAGAACCAGATCAACGAATTCAAACAACTGTTCTTGAATCACTATTACCACCGTATAATTTTAAAACATCCACCTTGTTGTAGGGCTTACATAGGTCCAAAGGCACATGATGTGAACAGAACAGAACACTGTGTATGTGCAAATCATAATACAACTATATAATGATCAATCATGATTATACAATAATGATTCTTGCTTTTTATATATATAATTGACAAATTATGATTCTTGGTTGGAAGACCTCACCGGTGGTGAGCTCTTCCTGCGCACGCCAAACCACCACGCTGCTCTCCTCGATCGGATCGCACCTCACTGTCCACCTTCTCGAGGAAGTCGGAGGCACGCTCGTCGATGGGATAGCGCTCACCTGGGGGCGAAGACCTCGTGATCGACGATATGAACACCAAATCCTATATGCACATCTCTGTCTCGAGAGGGTTTGATGCATCAGCAATACACTAAACACTCCATGGGACTCTAGATTGACCCCTCTGGCCCGGTAGGCCGTTTCTCGGTAGTCCGCCAGTCCCAGACCGGTCGCTCCGTCCCTCCGAGGCACGGAACTCTCGGAGTTGCTCCGCCAGGTCCCGCGCGGAGTGCTCGCGACCCATGGCGTCGAGCAGTGCAGGACCGGGGGGGCCCCAGGCAGAGAGTGGGATGGCGGCGGTTCGACCCATTGGACCAGGTGTCTTCTTTTGGAGTGGAAAGGAGAATGCTGGTCAAAGAATGTCAAAGCATGGAAGAACCTGAGATCTTTACTAGATGGGGTCAATCTGAAAAAAAAAGATGGTGTGACTTTGGGTCACCATCATTGAAAACCTTCTTCAAGTGACGTCACCCATGAAAAAGCCCATCCTGTGGCGTAGGGAAACCTCTGCACGGTCTGGCGACTTATTTCTGCACGAAGGCGGCTGTTTCCACATGTTTCCACAAAGCAGAGTCTCTCTTTCCATAGATCAGATGCAACTTGAAGTCTTCAGCGAGCCTTCACGATCTTTCACTAGCTCAACAAATCTGTATCAAGTCCACTTGCTTCGGGGCATGGCATCGAATTGGCAAAGGGGTCTGAACTTTGAAAGCTCTGTCCTAAGCATGTAAGACGGGATGGATCTGCTGTGCGTGGTGTATACTTCAACCAGGTCTGAACCTCAAACGGCGGCGCCACTGGAAAATGAGATCTCATTGCGACCGAGGGCGGTCCGTGGTCTTGTTGCACGGAAAACGGTTCAATTGTTGAAGTGGACAACTCATGAAAGGTATATATTAATAGAGAAATCACAGAATGGTTTCTTGATCCACCATGATCCCTGATCACTTGACGTCGCTTAGTGTGCTAAGTGTGACGTAAATCTCAAAATGCATTACAAAAACTGGGTGGTCCCCGAGTGCCTGTCCATGTGCTGCACATGCCTCTATATAGTTGTATCGGTGCTGGAGACCATCCCCGATCAGTTCTAAAGGTGTTGCATGCTCCACAACATCGCACGACCATACAAGACTCAATTGATTCATTCCTTCCCGACTGCGGTCGCTCAACCCGGTCGCTGAAAAACCCACCATGTTCAACCCGACCAGTCCACCAGTCCACGATCGACACCAGGTGGGTAAACCAAGGTATACTGGTGCCATGACCCACAGCCCAGTATTGTCTCTAGCTCACCTGGAATTTGGAGTCAGAACAAGACGGGCACTTGCGATAGATATTCCTCCGGGCACTTGTGAAAAATCAGGAGCCATCCCTCGAAAACCGATTCAAGCACGGAACAAAGGTGTTATGGACCCCAGCTTCTGTGAAGACAAATGATCAGAATCTAAAATGACCCCTATAATATCCCCTAATCCAATTTACAAAAGATGCTAGCGTTGCTGTCCGGATTGAAGCACAGAAAAGGAAACTATCATGTGGGCAACACATGCTTCGAGATCTCATCTGTGCAAACCCAAACAATTGGTCTTGGTGAGGTGTATAAACATGACTCGAATGAGAACCCGTGAAGAGAACCTAAAAAACACGAACCTACCTCGTTAGAACGTTGGTCCTGGTCCTTTTCGACGGGGTGACGTTGGGCCTGGTGACTCAAGGTCAGGGGCGGCAAAGTGAGCACCGGGATGCAAAAGATCCCATGGCTCGTCTCAAACCTGAAAGGTCCAGCGAAGCAATCGGTCGAGCTCGTTCACCCGGTTTTCTGTTTAAAGACGTCAGGACCGTTGGAATTGGTTCAAGGACCACTCTGAAGCATCCTGAACCTCTATAAGGGGATTTTGGTGGTCTATCACCCCAAAGGCCCGGGGCCCTGGTACATACCCATAAGACCTGCCTACCAGGGCCCTCTCAGAGAGGTCGACCAATCGCAGTGCCTGGAGGATTTGCCCGCGGAGCACACGAGCCTTGAGATCCCCCCACGCCTTGTGGTTTGTGGCAAGAGCCTTGTGGTTTGTGGTATAGCTTGCCAAGTACATAGCGGCAAAATCTTGGGTCTGGTCAGACTTGAGTAGACTGTAGACCAACAAGAGCATGTTTTGCCCCAACATGGTCCCTTGCAATCCCCTGCGTCTCTGATGTGCCATAGCTTCCCACATGTCTCAAACCTTCTGGCTCTGTCTTTCCAAACTTCACTCGGCCACGGGCCATGTTCCCAGAGTGCCAGCAGCCACACCTCGCGGCTCGCGATGGATATTGATCAATGGAGATGAGCAGGGGCCCAGTATCAGGGGTGATTTCCGAGAGATCCCTGAGACGGCTTCGGTCCCTGAGACGGCTTCGATCCCTGAGACGGCTTCGATCCCTGAGACGGCTTCGATCCCTGAGACGGCTGCGATCCCTTAGACTACCCCTGGGTTTCCCTGATCCGAGACGAGCCCCCACCCCTTGAAGGAAGGTCTCCACAGGTCCTGCAGGTATCCATCCCGTCTCCAGGCGTCGTTGTTCGACGGATCCGGCAGGGCGGCGGGATCCATGCCCTCCCCGCCTACAGCGCCTGCAGTGGTGAGGGTCCTGTGGGAGGGCGAGAGAGGGTTCGTTGGAACCTTCCATCAGGGAACCAGCTTTCTTAGCATAGGGAAACAGTTCCATCTGTTGTCTTTCATAGCATATGTTCTTTTAGCAATATGTTCTTAGCATATGTTCAACTTGCAGTTCAACTTAGCATATATGTTATTTTTACAGCAAAAAAATTGACCAAGAGGCGACTTGAGACCTTTTGGGCTGTATATATATATATATATTTCTGTCATCGGCAGTAGGATTGCTCAAAGAACAAAGAAGCGTAAGTAAAGGCCAATGGCATATTCCTACACAACGTAAAGCCTGTTCGCACAAACCCCTTTCTACCAGCAAACTCAACTATTGCTAGGGTGTACTTTCACTCTGACATCAGATTTCATCGCTGAATGTCACTCTGACATCACTTTTCAGCCGCTTCATCATGTCCAGTCGATGAAGCAGCTTTTCAGTACCTCCCTCTTCGAATAAACAAAAGAAACATCACTGGTCACTGGATTGAAGTTTTCGCTCAAAGGTTTCGGTGAACATGACGAACCCTAATTACATGACAAATCCTATCGATGACCTCGCATGACTTCGATGGATTTCAACAGCACCTGCATCCCATAGTTCTCAATCCATAGCCGCTTAGCATCCAGTTCTCAGGTGCTCTTCCGGATCTCGTCTTGTCACTGTGAGTCGCAACACGAAAATGGATGTCCCGAGCGACCTAGCAGCGAAAATCGTGTCCTTCTCGCCAAGATTGCCGCCATATGAGCGAGTCGCAGTCACAGCATGTAGAAATAAACAGAATGCAGTATGTGATCAGTATGTATATACAGTAATATAGTAATATGCCATGTTGTATGTATACACGCATCTATGCCATGCAAGTTGTCCTCGGAATTTCTTCGTTACCAACGCAATCAGCACTTGGCAAAAGTCGCCCTTTCTCTTCTCCATGTTCTACCCAACTAGTCTTGGGGTCGCTTTTTTGTCAATCATGCGCAAACACAAGGACAGTGAGAAAACAGGCTTGACCCCCCAAGGTTCTTGCGTGGGTTCTTTATTTGTTGGAGACACCTTTCTGAATGGTGCGGAGAAACATGTAGGTCTGGGTATTGCAGTACGAAGTTCTTCTGTTCACCGCAGCCTGGCATCTTGGGGAGACATGTTAAAGGCCAAAACAGCATGTTCAGGCCAAGTCATAACACACGTCCATTGGCACGGTTCATGATCCGCAGGCTGTTAAACTTGAGCAAAAACGTGCGGCCAGTTTGTCAACCTCTCAACATCAAAACACATCCCCTTTTTAGTCTTCGCGGACTTCCCATTGTGGAGTTGGTTTCTGCAATTGCCGCATCAAGGCAGGAAAAAAGGATCTTCCTCTAATTATTGATATTGTATGATATTGTAGTCAAATAATGGTGTGCTACTTTCCAAGTACACTCTCGACTCTCTGGCTATGGCTATGGATTCTGGGTAGACTCTCTAATGCCCCCTGCTGGACTGGGATGCTAGTCTTTGAGCTGTCCCTCAACCAGAACGCAGTGCTCGGGGTGACAAAAGTTTGGCAAGTATACAACATATGAAAATTGACACTCCCCTAAGTTGTCGTTTATGTGGGTCCATAAAGTCGTAACAACACTTCAGGTGCCTTGTCTGATGAAGCTTTTAGTACAGCTTTATGCTCAGGCCACGTCACTGTTTTCAGTGATGCTGGGCATGTATGCCTTCCATCCAGCAAACATACAGTGAAACAAGGACAAGTTGGAACTCTCCAGTTGTCCATGTTTGATGTCTTTGTCGAGGGCATGCGGCATATCCAAGAGGACTGAGGGAGGACAAACATGGACTTTTCTACGACTATTGTTGATTTTCCTTCACACCCACCTCCTCGGCAAGTGGTCCTGAAACCAAGTGGTTGAATTGGTTTCCAAGTGGTTTCATGCTGAAAAGAAAGAGTCCCAAAACACCCAGCGGTTTAAACCCGTCGGCCGGCCCTGACGTCAGTCGCAACGCACACATTTTGGCGGCGGATCGGCTCCATGCCTCAGTCGACCCGGATGGCCAGAATGGCAACCGAAGCAATGAACTGCGTGGAAGACTCAATAGAGCATGGACTCGAACGGCGAAAACGTAGCAGCATGTTGGTTGGGCGGCCATTTTCGGGCAATCAAACATCGAAGACAAGGTCCAACCGCAGACAAGACACAAACAGGTGCGGGCAACGCTAAGGACAACGCTAAGGTACGTGAGCATTTCTTGTTGATGGCAATTGTTCGGGTTAAATTACTTTTACTCTTTCTTCTCGTGCCTGGGCGCACTCCCGCACCAATGTTGTTCAGTGGGCTTCGTCACATCCACCTGTGGTGGCCTTTTTACATCACCTCTTCCTTGGCCATGTGGTACCCAAGTTCGTGGACAACGCCATTGGTGGGCAAATGCTGTTGGTCCACCCCCATCTTTCCAAGGAAAAAAACAAACGTGTCATAATGTTTCACTGTAGATCTCTGGGAAGTGTCAAGAAAGACTCAGCGAAACATGTGTAATTACAGGAAACCAATGATCCACCTACCTCTACGATTATGATTATTAAAGGATGCACCATGATCCACCTCTGAGCTAACCGGTGCGACTTGGGATACCGACGCCGTGTGGCCGCGACGACTCGTCTCGACTCCGAGCGACGTAGACTGCCGTGAGCGACGATAGGAGATCGATCTGGCGCAGGTTCGATGGGCCATTCATGAAGGCCAGCTGGATGAAACAAAGATCAAACCACTGATAGTCCAAAGAAGCTACTAGTCTGAAACAAAAGGACTTCAGTTGCTGAAGGCCAGCTCCAGTCAGTTGAGTACAAAAGGCCTCGGACCTTTATATTAATGCGATCAATAAAACCCTCCACTGAACGGTGGCCTGGCCGTGCGTCCACACCGCCAACCCGCCACACCCCACGATGTCCACACCACACCACCGGCGAGACCGCACGACGTTCTTCTCAAGTTTTATCAAGTTATGGAACCAAAATACAGTATAGCTATGACCAAATGACCCATGAAAACATCATGACTCGTGAGAAAATCATTGAACAAGCCCACATCTTTAAAACTAAAGAACCGATTAAAAAAGAAAAAACAACGGGACCAAATTTTGATACTGATACGTTTTACCAAGCTCAGGTTCTACAGCTGGGAGCCCCGAAGTCACAAAAAGCGCGAGCACGCACCAAGTTCCCAGCTGGGCAGTGGCTTGGATCTGGGCAGCAGAAACTGAATCAAAAGGGCTTCAAGAAGTTGGTTCTACTCGGGTTTGGATACGCAGTTGTTATCCTGCCCTGCAGTCAGCTAAAACAGTGAAAACCAAAACAGGAAAATCATAGACAATGACAAGGGCTTCCAGCTTCAGCAAACATGGGTGTATGATGTAAGGTTCAAATATTGATGTTGTTCCATGCTACTTTGCGTTTCAATGTTCTTTGTCATCACCCGGGAGACTCTCAGCATGCAGAATCTGGAGGCCCGTCATGGCCCTTCCTAGTGCAGAATGTGTTCCGTCATCCTCCCAAATACCACAAACGACTCCTGGGATGTTCATCGAACAGACTTGTCCGGGGATGGGACCACTCTAGAATGTGACGTCACGTTAGCTACACTATAGAAATTAAGGTCCTCTTCGCATGAATCTAATGATGTCTAGAGTTCACACCACATACATGGGTGATCCCTCCCAAGTTGTGTTGTGCAAGCTGCATCTGGCTTCCTTGGATGATAACTGACAGCTACTGGGTACTATGGCATTCCCCGTTATATATTGTGCAATATAAAACCCCAATAGAAATAACATCAAATGACTAGTCAAGACCTCGATGTTGGCCATCATCAAAGGTTTGACTTTATGTGGATTTTCAAGCAAGTGTTCTAGTATGTCATCATTTTCGGTCATTCCCATCCTGAAGAAATCCAGGATTTTGTCTTCCCCTAGCATGTTAAGATTTTGTGGGCCATAATGTCTGGAGACCCTCCAGCTTGTACTCTAGAAACTAGGACATGGTCCTAGTTTAAGATGTTTGTATAAACATGGTAATAGCCAGTATTTTCTGGTATTGTTTTACTAGGACATGGGCCTAGCTTAGGATGTAATTTCATGTAATTCCCATGGTCTTTTGGGGGGAACTTGGAGGAGAAAACAAATCTCCTCTCCCACTCAGCTCCACTGGGCAGCACCGGCTCCCAGGTCGCCCAAACCTGGCTCATCTGGGCGCCCAAACGACCGTCTAGACGGTTCGAACGGACAGAGCAATTCTCTAAATGACCACCGCCTCAAGAACTTCAAGCTAGAGAACTGGGTTGACCACGGTCTCTAGATGACCACGGTCTCTAGATGAACTGGATGGAAAAACCCCCAAAAAATGGCGGATTCTCCAAAAGCTGTAACTCGAACCGTGCGATGACTGCTGCGACGACTTGTTTTGGTTTCCGTCGGGTGATGTCTTCGCCACCCCAAGCGGTCGGGAGAATTCAGGGTGGTCGATCCACGTCGATGCGGAAGAAGGCCTTTGATGATGGATGACCTCATGTGGAAATACGCCCACACCGCTTGTTGGTGCAGGGCGTGCTATTGGGGTCTTGCCATCGAGCTCTGCGCAAAAACATCCTATGCATATAGCTCTGCTAGGGGGGGACTTTTTTTCGCTCGTGCGTGGCTATGGTTGAGCTGCAGGGCTCCTGGGGAGAGCGTTTTGGAGGAACATGCTTGGATGATTTTTCGTTACGTCATGCTTGCAGGGCCACTGGGGAGAGCGTTTTGGAGGAGTTTTTGTGTTTTGGGGTGGTTGCTGCGTTGATTCTTGCTCGGCTGCTGGGCCACTGGGGACAGCGTTTTGGAGGTGTATTTTTGGATGGCTTTTGGCAATGCCGAAGTTGTATCACCATTAAGGGCCCCAAGGTAGACGAAGTTGGCCCCAAGATGGCTCCAACGCAGCCGTAAGACAGCCAACCTGGTGCCTAGATGGCTGCACTTGTCCCCCATTTGGAGCCAAAATAGTTCGCAGAAGCTCACTTAAAATCCTGGTCCTGCTGGGGGAGGGTTCGTGCGCGGTGTGGGCAGCTGTCGACGCTAAGCGTCTTGAATAGTTCATATTCGATGTGGATAATGGGATCATCCTTTGATGATGGATGACCCCATTTTACAGTAAACAGGTGTTTTTGCTGGATGACCTCATGTGGACGTGGGCCGCACCATCCGAGACGGGATGTCGACACCGGAAGGGACCACTCTTGTTGAAGGTTGATTGGGTGGTGGACCATGATGGGTCGAGTCACTTTAGGTCGGCAAACACTTTAAAACCAAAACATGATCAAAGCTTCCAAAAGCCTTAAGGGCCACAACCAACACATGTAATCATTGAAATCATTGACAACACAACCAACAAATTTAGGCTAGCCACAATGTAATTAGGTGTCATCCCCAAATGACCCAAGCATGACACAACAACACAACATTCTGCACGTTCGCGAACGAGAAGCAACACAAGTGCCCTGCTTCTTCGGTCTAGCAGCTAGCAACTATAATATCAACTATATATTCTAAATGTGGTTTTCAGGGCAACGGAATCCCCCTCCCTGAGCCTACCTGCTTGTCACTGCTTGTCGTTTGGGGCCCGCACCCAACTTCATGTCCTCAACAAAGTCCTTCCAGTCATCCACAGAGCCCAACTGGCGGAGCTCCAACGGCTCTGAAACCGCGCGACAGGACGAATGGGTGGAGCCGAAGCCTCCGACAGGACTTGGGTCATTGGTCCCGAGTCCCAAACTGGGAGGGTCGTTGCCTGGGAGGGTCGTTGCCTGGTCTCCCTATTTCAATACACAACCCATATAGAATCCAAGTGCTTCGATTCGCCGAGTCACAACACATGCGACTGAACCGTCCGATTCGGAACCTCCGACGCGAAGCCGATGTCACCGGTCAGACCGTCCTGGGTCTCGGCGCAATGAAGGATGTCACGATGCCGCGACCAGGAAACGACAGTGGATTGAGAGTAGATGGCGCAATCCCCCAAGAGGTGGCTTATATGGACCCCCATCTAAAGGATATCCACAGTCAAACTGGACAGCGGTGAAGTTCCAAACGAGAGACAACGGTCTTCCACGGTTGACAATGTCGGGCCAGCAACAAATCTCTAACAGTCCAATCATAGTTTGGGGTTAGGAGACTCTTCTCACACAATCTCACACAGTCTTGTACCAGGGGTCAAGTCAAGCAATCTTAGCATAATCTATTGAATGTGCCCGTTGAGACTACCCCTCCTGATTCTAAGTCCTCGTTGTATACGTTTGTTGTACGTATGATGATAAGGATACTTGTTCAGGCGCCGGGAGGATCTTACACGAAGAAAATGTCACGATAAATAATATGTCCGCAAATGCCATTGATAAGTCCTATATGTGTCTTCTTCAAATGCATGAGTAATTAGAATATAAATAGTGGTACCTAAACAAATAGAAACAATGTCCAATAGATTTTGAAAGGTGTTTTACATTTCTATCTATTTGGGGGGTCTATCACATACAGGACCGTGACCGTGGAAAAAGCACCGTCGCCTGCCGCCCGCGGCTGCGCGTGTCGCTGGCACGGTCCCTCGGTTCCGCAGCTTCCGCGGAAAGTGAAGAACAGAAACAGAAAGGTTAATTAGTATATACTAGTAAATAGAAACGCTACTAGTAACTAGAAGCGTTCTTGTTACTATAGGTGAAACGATTCCCAGTGAAACGATTCCCAATATATCAATATCCAAGTTAAGTTATATGGACATGAAAGAGCACCGGAACACGGGGTACGTATGGGTACCTATGGCATGGGATAGTCGGGTTCTGTCAAAACCTCCGGTTGGATGTTGTCTTTTGGATCTTTTGGAGGGGTCCTCGGCATGAACTTAAGGATAGATATGAAAAGCAACCCTGTTCATCAAATATACAACTCCAATCCGCAAGAGAGTATGGCGCGAAGGGTTCCGCACCTATCTATGTCTAACATGCCTGCATCCGCCCACATCTACCAGCTCCCTGCAGCTTTGAGGCATTTCGCAGCTGGCCATCTCTTGCTTGTTTCACATGTCACAGAGACCCGTGGGCGTCCCAAAAGGTAACCGAGACTGAATCCGATGACCTGCCAGCAACCTGTTTTGATCGCAAAAAACGATGCCACAGGTGCTAGCCAAGCCGGAGGACTTCGTCCTAAAGGACGCCTCGATGTACTTACTCCTACTCCAACTCCTCCAACTGGTGCCTATGTTTGGTCTCTCACCGTCCCGAAAGGTCTACTTCATTCAACTACATCACCGATTTTTCTGGCACTCCCTGACTGACGATGCCCACTGACCGACCTGGTACTTCCATACCTGGTGGAGGAACATCATCGAAACCCCGCGCGTCGTTCACCGAGGCTACTCCGTCGCTCGTGAGACCCACCCCGCACTGCTTCTTTCAACCATGAGACAGAATGCCAGCACTGAGTTCCACCAAGTCCAGCACACCTGCCATTGGTGTGGCTCAAAGAATGGTGCCTTGTCAACCCAACTGGGGATGGAATGATAACCATGTAACAACTAAGCACTTGGTAATTCGGAATTGCCATTCCCAAGCACTGGCAAAAACAGCTCATCAAGCTGGATGGGTCTGGTTCCCCAGGGTGTATGTTTCGATCCCAGGGTGTTTGTTTTGCACAAAACAACCAGATTCTCCAAACCATCAAGAAACTCCTGTGACATCCGCTGCCCAGGTTACCCAGAAGCGCCTTCTCATGTGTCAGTGTCAACTACATGTGCGGAAGTGCGGTGGTGATGGGAAATACTCTTCAGTTGCAGGTTTTCATGGGCCAGCAAGGGCACTGAAGATAGCCTACTCTCCATTGCCAGTGCACAGTATTCTCGGACTGCCTCTGTCGTTCATCAAGAGAAAATCCAAACCAAGTTTTCAGTAAAAGGTCGAGGAACCCCCGGCAATCCAGCATCAGAGCCTTTAAGTTTGTGGTGGCATTTCACGATCTCAAAAAAAACGAATCACAAATAAGACAATACCAAAAGGATTCGCTGTTCTATCTACCCGGGGGTCACCATGGATTGTCAAATAGAGTGACTGTTCGACCTACGATGGTTCTGCGGTTCGACCTGCAAACCACATGTGCCCGGTTGAGACCGGTTGTTGGAGAGAGTGCGCCGACCCATGAGAAAGACCTAAGCACTCTATCTCCATGTATGGAATATGGCATATATATATAATGTGTATGGAATGTGTACATTATGTCAACTTAGCTGTGGAACCATATCGTCTTTCGACTTCTATCTAGCTTAGGGTCATTGACCCCTGAATCCATCCCAATGTCAATATGTCACTCCCATCGGTTGTGCCGACATGTTGACAAATCCTAAACATTATTCTACATGTGTATTCCGGGACAAACAAAGATGTGCGTCTTACTAGCGATCTTTTCTCTTGTCACTGTTTGGAAATTGATGAAAATTCTTACACACTCAAGATATTGTAAATATATGGTGAATTTCTGCCGGTGCTTTCAGTATTGCTGGACAAATCAGGAGAACAGCGGCCCTTCGTCGCCCTTCTGCACCTGCTGGTGGGTCATTTTGCAAGGGCCTTGAGCTTGGCCAAACGCCGGCGCCCACGATCCTTCGGATGAAGACTAGGTATATATAGTTGTTTTTCTTTGCCACAGCTCCTTGTCAGTCCCAGATCTGTTCCGCCGGCTCTTGTTCCACAATTCAAACTTGGGAGAGATGAGGTTTTGCATGAGCAAGCCCACAGTGGCCAGGGGGGTTGGCCCATGGAATCACACCTTTGCCAATCCTTTCGGAAACCCAAACATCTGGCCGCAGCCCACCCTTTGGGTTTTCGCCGGGAATTGATCGTGGGCCACACTGATCTTTCGTTTCTGGATCTTCTGACCCAAGACATGGCCATGCTGGCCATAGTTTGATATCCCGTTTGCCAGGGAGTGCGATTGTTCTCAAACAAACATGGAGTGTCTGGGTATATACCTTAACTCCAAAACCCACCCCAATGTAGGTAAATATACCATACATGGAGTGTCTGGGGTAGGCATATATGGAAGATGATGGGTGCCGAACCACTGACTCGTGCAGTTTAAAGCCAACCGTGAGGCAGGGGTATGTTCTTCACAGAGACCCGTTTTCAGTGGACGTATGAATAGATAAAACAGCATGACATCCCTTCACATGTACCACATGTAATTTACATACCAGCACCCCCCTGTTCGGGCTCTGAACCCTAGATTACCCTGAGCAGCTCGGATGGCATCTCTGAGCAGCCCGGATGTGAGGACGGTCCACCGTCCCTCGCCTGGTGAGGACGGTGACGGACATCCAATCCTGAGCCGACCCGGAGGAACGCCGACGGTCCGACCCCGGTGGCACCCCCGGTCCCGTTTGGGGGCCTTTGACCTAAGTGGTGAAGAGAGCATGATGGGTCTATCCTATTACCTGGGCCTCAGTGGATGATGGTTCAGTTGCAGGCCTTGTCCAAAAATAGTAAGGTTTGTTTACTGACTGTTACAGGTAATAGGACAGACCCCAGCAATATGATGCAATAATAAGGTTTGGGAAAGACTGCAGCACCATGACTGCACTAAAGCTTTTAAGGTCTAACCTCTGTTCTAAGGTCTAGTTCATGCACGCAGCACTTGACAGAACCTCTATTCAGAAGAGGTGACCACGGTAGTGCTTTGCTGTGCACTGCATGGCTGCTGCTTCACCTTTGCCATTAACAAAGTTCATCATAATTGACAATGTGCATCCAAGACCACGTCTTTGTCCGACCAAATGAGCTAACCTGAGCAGGACCAAACAAAACATTGAGAAAACAATTTATACAAATATATAAGACAAAGAAAACAACAGTAAAGTAATTGGGTTTATGTACAAATCGAAGTTATATTTGTGTTGATTTGTTCAAGTTGTTCATGTCAAACAAATGGAACACCCACATATTAATTAACTTTGAACACGCTTCTGCAGGGGGTCCAAGTGGGCACCAATTATATAAACTAAACGTCAGCCATGTTCATTGATTGATGTTCAAAGGGTTATCAAAGGAATATCTAATTGGCAGAAAAAAAAAAAGAACACATTTTGAAGCAGACTGTCAAAGGGACATTGATCGGAACCCAGTTACAAACCAATAGTATGTTCAAAAGGTTCTATCTGGAAACAAAAAACAAATTTGCATTAGTTGGTTCAGGACTTTGGGGAATTATATTTGGACGTGGACAGCATGTTACAAATATATTATGTGTATATATATATATATTAAGTTTTGTCATGTAGAACAGTTCAATGACGTTCAATCAAGTTCAATTGAAACCATAAACATGAAACACATAGTTTCGCTGACTTAAAATACAAGTTTTACATCAATATCTTACTGTTTTAAAGACATGTTAAAAAACGTGTTGTTTGGAAATAAGTTACTGTTGATATCAAAATGAATCCACAATGAATTTAATCGGAGCCAAATAAATCAACTAAGCATCAATATACTATTTGATGGTGCACTACAATTTTCATGACAATGCTAGCTAGCTAGCTGCTAGCTAGCAATTATGGTTTTGATTCGTGTGTGACCTTGACATCACCTGGCCAACACCCTCCAAGCACCATCAAATGTCTCCTCGAGTCCCACTACGAACCGTAACCCGATTTTCCCATACCTTGTGGGTCCAGAATCCCCCGTGGTTTCCTCCTTCCAGCAAAAAAGAAACACGGTTTCCCATGTTTCCCCTTTCCCCTTGTGCCATCGCGGCACCTCCAGGGGCGGTTGCTCAAACTCGGGCACCGACACCACCTGCGACGGAGAGGAACGTAATAGGCGTCCGAAGACCCGTCTACACCGGAAAGAACACAGTTCACACATGCGAGACTTCGCCTCATTGGTGGTTTCAACTCATCAAAAACCATGGATTTTGTAATATAGATCTACTATTTTTAATAATCAAATTTACATTAATATTGTATAACTATTGTATAATATGTGTCTTTTCTTTATTTACTGGATTCGTCATCCCAGGCAAGGTTGCAACTCTCATGAAACCATGTGAACCCCTCAAGCAGCAGCTGGACCAGTGGAACTTTCGGGCGGCACTCTCACGCTCTCCGGGCGGAGGCGGCACCTGCGTGGTCGGATGCCTGGTGACCTGTCCGAGTGCAGGGATGACAGAGTGCTCCCGGAGAATGAGGCTTGTCCTCCTTCTGTGCTGAAAAACATGGCAAAGAAAGCATTCAAGGTACCTTTAAACGATCACTGCCAATCACTTATGTAAGCTTCTTTCCTCACAATTACTTCTGAATTTCCTCTTGCTGCTCACGGTCGGTCAACATCGAAACCACCGTTCTGGACTGCTATATTATGCACTTAAACTTGGAAGGTGTGCCAAGGTATCTTGTCAGAAGGGATTTGCTCATCAGCAGCACCAGAAAAACTCTACCAAGCTAACCATCAGCCAGTTTTGGTGCCAGGTGATCAGCACAAGACGATAAAGTGCCCCTAGTGGCACCAGGATCAATGGGACCAGATGGATTTCCACAAGTAAATTAAATTCCCTGTGAAGAACGGCAGCCAACTACCCCACGGGAGCCATTCAACCAACCATTCTGCCGTCCACCTCGGTGAAACTGCTGCCTCGCCTCCCACAAGAATTCCGGCGCGCCAGGCTTCAGCACATGGTTCGCCAGCACCACGGCCCTGGACACACCGACGAAGGACCCGTCATCGGACCCGGCACTGGACCCGGCCCAACATGTATAGCTGTGGTAAGGATCCATGAGCCTCTGGGTGGAGAGAAACCCTCATGCTCCGAGATGGTACACAAGCATGTGTGGTCCAATTGGTTCAGAGTTGGTACTTTTCCAATGACAATTCCAGGAACAAGAAACAATGCTGAAAGATTCGTGTTCACATCGTTTCAGCCCTCTGCAACTGGAAGCCCCAACTTCTCCTCGCAAAAAAGACACATCAATTTCACACAGTCTGCCACTCTTGATGACACCCTTTGGTCATGTTTTTGCCGCTTGGCCCCATCTTCTTCCCAAAGAAATCCCCAGCTCTGCGCTCTCTTTGGGAGATCGTCCACTGTGACGAACACCTGAAGATCATCTTATGATATCTTATATATACATGGCCAGAGGAAGGTCTCTTGCCAAGGCCTTGACCACTGCGGCAGCCCTCTCTCCCAAATGGCACCCGCAACAATGGATCGTAGACATTCGACTCATCTGGTTGATATAGCTGAACTCCCCAAAAACGACATCAAGTTCCTCAATTTCTTTGACTTCTAGAAGACTCATCAATGCCAGGGTTTTGACTTCATCAAAAACCATCCACCCACTGCAGGCAGGCTGTGTGACCGGCTGTAGGATCTAAACAAACCTTCCTGAATTAGCACCAGGATCCTGGAGCTATAGACTTTAGACCCTCCACATGATGCATCGGTGCTGGGTATGCTGAGCCCGATCTGATCTGCCTTGGCAGCAAGTGCTGGTGTTGCAAGAACAGCAGGTCTGGCAAGAAATTTTTGCCTCCGCGAAGCAAGTGCCACTTGACCAAACCAAAAAGCGGCTCGAACTAGCTTGTTGGCGTGCTTTTATGTTTAAGGCGTGCATGTGTCTTTTTGCAAACGACACCTGGTACTGACAAAAAGTCCCAAGTTGGGACTCCAAACATGTATATACCTTGCGCACGGCTCCACATGGACCCGGCTCTGCTGTTTGTTCGGTGCTCCTGTATCCAGGGAGCCTGCTTGTGGCCTGCAGGTTCTTGCTAGCTGCTAAGTGAAAACAAAGTGGGATGGTCCATTGTAGATCCAAGAAGAAGCGTGTCATTGTGCTTGCTCAGGAATCCACGTCAAGAATCTATGTCACCAGGTCACCAGGCTAGCCTGCCCCACTGCGACAACAAAATGCATCATTCAACATTCTTGCAAACGCCCATAAAGGCCATGCTTGGAGATCTCAGCATCATACTATATCTCTATCCATTGGGGTCTTATTCTCCAGCCAGCTTGAGGCAATTAAAAGCCACCCCACTAGAAAGAGTTCTAAAACCTTAATTATCCCACATGGTCAGTTTCCCTAAAACTCTAGGGATCAACTCATTACTGCGAGCGCTTCTTCAAGGAAGCTCCCCTCCACTTTCAGGCGGGGGAGCTTCAAGAAGCGTGAGCTCTCCTTCGTTCTGGGCCGCCTCCTCCTAGAGTAGCTAGGAGGCTTGACCTCAGAGGTGGCGGTCACGGGTTTAACAAATAAAAATAAAGAACATCAAAATCTAAGGAAAAAACACCTAAGCAGTTTCATGACACCCGCTCCCACCCGGTCCCACCCGGTCAAACCCGGTCCGCGCACGCCGTCCGTTGCGATGAGTTTCGCACCTGCGTGATCGCACACGACGGCGTGAAAGCGCCCGCCCAGCCTGGCGTTCGGCGGCGTTCGCGCAGCGTTCGCGCCCGCCGTTCGGCTGGGAGCGGTGCTGCTGCAGTGTTCGTGTCACGGCTTTGCACGGCTTTTCACTGCTCCAGTGCTCCACTGCTCGGGTGTGGGTATATATACCAAACAGCTATATAGGTCTGTCTCTCCATGGCTTCCTCAGTAAAAAACGGTACTTGGCTCTTTGGGATCAAAGTCGGTTCAAGTACTGCAGGGTGCTTGGACATGGGAGAACTCATGTCGCATATATGTTCCATTCTGGCATTAGATATTGCAGATCCTTTCCACAACAATCTCACCATTGTAATTTGCATGCAGTTTTAGGCCCCAGATTGCCCCTGCTAGAGAAAGGCAGGAGGACACCATTCAACTTCACCAGCTTGGGTGAAGTCGTTTTTTGTTTAGCTTCCACTCAACACGATCTTTGGACAGATCGGCTTGCACTCGGACGACAGGCATGCACATTTGGAGCACATCAGGGCATCTTCTCCTTCGCTTCAAAACATCCATCCGTGGCATCGCTCGGTTTCATGAGCTCTGGAGATCGAGTGAAGGCAGAAACGCGCGTTTTGGCTCGGGCGCGTTTTTGCATGGCGTTCCGCCTGGGAAGGACCACAGCAGTCTTGCCAATCCACACCTGGACGGCAAAAAGAAACAGCAGAAGCTGGGATTTGGAGGATACTGGGTCCAACACCAAAGACACATGCCGAATTGGAATGAATTGGAGCCCACCACAAATTCGTCATTGTGGTCCACCGTGGTCCATGTGGAAAAGCGCTTGGACCACCTCAAGTGGCCTCAGTCACTTTGTGATAAGAGGGACGTTGAAGCAACGTTTCGTTTTCGTCATAACCAGATCCCTTCAGTTGCCGATTGGTCGAAGGATCGGTGGGTCAAGTCACATCCGCGTGAGGACGCTCCCAGGGATCGGACTCTGTCAGAAGAAGTTGAAGCTATTTAAAGCTCTCAGCTCTCAACTAGATCTAACACTAGATCAAGGTGCTTTGGATTCTTTCTTGATTCGCCCTGATTTCTGAAAGCCCTAAGTCTCAGGGTCTGAAAGAGAGGAGTCTCCATGTTTTGCCACTGACAAGCAAGGACAAGCAAGGTATACACAGGGTGTTTGGAAGGAAAGCCATATGAAAGCATCACCTCCTTTTTGGTTCTTTCGACATCTTTCGACCTGTGAGGCAGTCAGCAGCTCGGGAAATCTGAGATACCTCACTTTGATGCGATCGTTGAGGTTGGACATAGCCTCAGATCAATCTCGGTCGATCGAGGATGTGACCTTCAGATCAAGGGCCGCCAACTCTTGAAGGCACTGCCAAATCTACGAAAGGTCAGCCAATGAGGCTTGCTTGCAGGTTCTTGGAGGTTTTTGCTTTCGGGGGCCACGCGGACACAGAACATGGGGGGCAGCCCAGCTGCTTTTTATTCTGCCAGACCTCTCCACACCTGTTGGTGACCACCGTTCCACCGATTCCGCCAGCAACCTCTCCCCTTGGAAACCCACCCCACCGGCCCCACCGGTCTGACCGATTCCGCTCTGGGCAGCGGCAGCCGAGAGGCGATCATGCACCGAGCGACGATCACACGTAACGGATCCTCCTGGGGTTACGCATCGAACCGAGCGACGATCACCGGTCGCGTCAAAAAAACATCGGCCGCAGCTGGGGACAAAGGACACCTGCTCAAAACCATGATCATTATGTCAGTTATATTATATATATTGTTATATAATGTTATATAAATACTATATATGTATGATTCTCAAAGAGCAGCACCAAGCGACGTCTGCCACTTTTGACGTCTGCAAAAGTGGTGACGTCAGTCACCCTAGTTCTTGTTGATCGACGCTTTCGGAGACGACTAAGTCGGACCTCATGGTCCCCAGAGCAAGTCCGATGTGCTGGGTTTGGTGTGGTTCTGGGTTCTGGTTTCAAAATGACGTCAACTCACCCAAGGAATACCATGCTACTCTTTGAGGTCACCTGTTCGGGTGGTCCTTGTGGATGTGAATTGGATGTTGTGGGAGGATCCTACATACTTTGCTCATGAGGATCTCTTGATTGCGTTGCGCTTTGCCTCCTGTCAGACTCGTCTGAGACGGTGCTTAGCTACCAGATATTCATCAAGACAAGCCATACGGGTGTTGTTTGCTCCAGTCTGCTCCAGAGAACAAACCGGACGAATCTCTTAGAGGCTGCCAGAGGAAAGAGAAAACCGGTGACGCAAACTCCGGGCAGTACGTTGGGCGTGTCCTCCACCGTCTCCAGCTGCACGGGCAAAGCTGAAGCCTCATATTCTCGATTTTTGGGCAATCGAGGTTGGCTGGAGAACAGGCAAGTTCCTGGACCCAAGGAGTTTCTGCTGCAAGTTCTTAGAAGTTCAAAAAACTCTAATTCACCACACCGGACCACACCGGACCTTTCTTTAGTAACTAAACAAATGTGCCATTCTCATCCTCAATTCTACTTTTGTCGGTGCAGGTCCATGTCTTGTCTTGGAGCCGTAGCGTCAAACGGAGCCTCGGAAGGACTTCTAAGACTCGCAACCTGCGCCAACCCGCCAGGTTCGTCACAACCGGAGACACAAAGCCACCGCAAAGCCGGGTTCCCGGGCCAAGCGGATGGCTGAGTATCCGCAACCGGTGCCAAGCTCGAGGACCTGCGGTTCTACATGAAGGGGTGGCTCATGCAGTGATGCGGTGTGGCTGGGTGGTAGAAGTTTGCATGAGCAAAAGCCAAGACTTCAGGGTGAAACTTTGTCTGTGACCCAACTTGTCTGTGTCTCCCTTTCTCTCTGCTCTCTCTCTCTCTCTCTGTCTCTCTCTCTCTCTCTCTGTCTCTCTCTCTCTATCTCTCTGTCTCTCTCTCTCTCTATCTCTCTCTCTGTGTCGCTCTCTCTCGTTGAGGGAACTCACGTGTTAAGCCAAAGTTTGTAGTTGAGACTCCGTAGCACTGTTTTCCTGAGGGCTGAATGAACATGTAGGCTCAAGGCCTTGTACCAAAGTAGTATTTGCACAGTAGCAGGAGTGAGACACTGTAGGGCAGCATCCTTTGAAGTCTCTCTCTCTCTCTCTTCCTCTCTCTCTCTCTCTCTTTCTCTCTTTCCTTCTCTCTCCGGCAGGTGGAAGCAACAGCGGTCTGCTGCCATTACGTAAATCCCAAACCTTGGCGCCGAAAAAAAACGTAGAACCTGAGCAGGGAGGGGACGAAAGCCAGCCCCCCCCCCGCGCGTATGTGTGACGGGACCATACTGCATCCGTCGCGTCTACTTGACTTTCTTCGTGTGCCCACCTTCTCCTTCTACTTCCTTCTTTCTCCCTGGAGCTTCATCACATTTTCACTCGCTTCCAGACAGTGTCGAGCGCCCTAGCGCTTCTGCTGAGGTGAAGTGACATAAGCTGGCCATGTTGCCCATGAATAAAAGCACAGAGCATCCTTCTGGTGTTGCACAAACTTACAAAAAGGAGGCCAGCGATTTGGACGAAAGGTGGACTTGGATTTGGTATGATTTGAAAAGACTTAAGGTGCTACAGTACATGGACTGTGCTAACTGGAGGACTCAATGCATCTATAAGTGTCATCAAGTTACTTCTGCCAGCAGCTCGGATCCAATCATTGGTTCCGGCGGTTGGGAACCTGAACCTGAACGGGAACTGTTCTAGTTCGGGTTCGGGTTCAGGTTCGGGTTCCGGCGTACACGGTGGGGAACCTCATAAATGGGATAAAGACCGATGTCTATGTAACTCCCCACGAAGAACATCAAGCACTCGGAGAAAGATATTGTGAAGAAAGCAGTGAAGGTGAACGAGTCTTTGACAAAAAAGTGTTTAAGGAAACTATTGGAAGCAAACAATGAACAAATATTTTATAAAACTCCTTCATTCATTCATAAGGTCAATTATGACCAGATTGTTAATGAACTATGGGAAACCGATCTTACTAAAGATGACAAAAATAACATAGGAAACATCACAACACCGCACAGAAGAGATGCGGTTTCACACTTTGAGGGAGGCTTGCCATTACCAGAGAGTTTGGAGGAAGGATGTGCCAAACAACAAGAAATAGAAAAAGAAGAAAAAACAAACATGCAATACCTAATACATCTTAAACACCACCAATAGAAATGAATTAGTCAATTAAGTCAATTGGCTTAGATATATAAAAGAGGTGCTTATTCAATATCATAACTTTTCAATGTATGAAGCATAATTAATTGTCAGAAAACTATATTAAGGTCTATTCAGTGGAGAGTGATGCCTTCACGATCCTTGAAGCCGATTTGACTAGAGTGATGGGCAAACCATAATCATTTTATAAAATCATATCAGACTGGAATATTGAACTTTGAAGAAGGCATAGGCAAGTGGAGACTGACAAACAAATCAATCAATTTTCCAACCAATAAGTACATTTTTAGATATAATGACTTAAGTGAAATTCCAAAACTACAAAATGAACAAATAGAGGTGGTGGATGAATGGGACACCCCCGCCCGGAATATGTAAGCAAATTGAAAAACAACACCCATGCCCATGCATGATCAGAGCAAAATTTGCTGGATCGGGCAAGAGTTACATAGGTCAGTATTTTAAAAGGGTGCATAAACAAATGTTGTTTGTAGTGCCTCATAACCGGTTAAGTCAAGACATAGAAGGTGACGCAACAACCTACAACATACGTCTTTTTAAAATTCCAGTTCATAAGGGGGATGAACTACCAGAGTTTGATCATAGCAATTTTGATGTCATCTTCTTTGATGAAATCCATATGACCTATCTTTGAGTGTTAAAACTTTACTGAAAAACCCAAGGACAATAAAATCATCATAGGCGCCGGTGATACAACACAGTTAGAACCAATTAATGGTTTAACTAACACCCAGTCAAAGACCACAACATGGTCAAAATTATGCCGTTCAATTTGTTCTCTGAAATCAGTGAAGTTGTCCAAAAGGTTCATTTGATATCTGAAATATCACTCAAACAGGCATGCGACAGGCAAAAATGGTAGATTTTTTTTGGGGGGGGGTAGCATATATAAGAAAGTTCCAGAAAAGTTAGTCTTTTCAGCTTTTGGTTCTTTGAGTTTTGGGGTTACCCACGAAGAATAATATAAGACTAAACCTTTCTGGAACTTTCTTATGGTTTCACACTCAACTCATCTCAGCTTTTCTCCGCAGGTGCCACCTCATGCGTCTTCATCTACAAAGCCCAATTGTTCCGCCTGGACTTTCGAAAAACAGTAGCGTCCATCAATATGGGCCCACTTCCAATATCGACGGCCTTTGGCCGTCTCGTACTGCATCAACGTCCACCCATTCTTTTTGCTGATTGTTTTGACAACCTTTCCGCCCTTGGCCCCTGACCCATCAGCTTGTTTCTTTGGGGTACCCATCGATGGCTTGCTCGATGGCTTCTTGAATACTGGTTTCTTTCCTAAAACTTGTTCTTCGTGTTCACTCACTTCCTTTGTCTCTTCCTCTGGTGCCAGAGGAAGCTTAGGCTCAGGTTTCACTTCACGCTGAGGCGGCGTAGTTCTGGAGGTCTCTACTTCTGCTGCAGGTCGTTTGAGTGGAGAATGAGCTGCTGGACGTTTCAGATGACCTAAGTTGAAGCCCAACACCATCTAGGAAATGCCCCGAGTGCTGATATCGTTTGATGGAAAATACGACCATCATCTTCTCCGTCACCATCATCATCAGTTCTTAAACTCATCTTTCATAGAATAAAAACTATGAAAACATCATCGATTATCATCATCATTAGATAGCCTATACCCTGTTACTCAATCATCATCATCAAGAAAAGGTTCAATAGAAAGTTAAAACAAAGGGACTCGAGGCTGTTGTTCTGCCCCTTGCTCTGCCCCTTCCCCTGCCTCTGCCGCCTCTGCCCACTGGCCTTTCCTGTGGCTCCTCTTTCTTTGGCGACGGCGTAGGCCTCGAAGGTGTTTGTGTAATAATACCTTGGCCTTGGCTGTCATTTTGCTGGCTGGATGCAGCTCCACCAGGGCTTCCGGCAGGCCCCGGTCGTGGTTCCTGTTGAGTCCGATAGCTTGCCATAATCCTGCCAGCTATGTCAAGTCCATGGGCATCATTCATGGCACCCGAAAAAAAGTGCCGAAGGCACCTACGAATTGCTTGATCCGAAGCCTGTTGCAAAGCAATTCAGGGATTCAACAGTTGTGAAATACTAGGCTAGGTCATCCACAAGACAATACATCATTCATCTTCAATGATTCCATCTCTAGTTACTGCATTCATTCATAAACAACTGAATGACAAGTTGTGGAGAAAAAGCAGCAAAGCAGATCCAGGTGAAATACTTAATATTGAGGCTACTCAAATTGATACCGTTTAGTATGACACTGTTTAGTAAGGAAAAAATAGAATCGGTCTAATACCGTGATGCTGTTTGTGAACTTTCCCAATTCTTGTTGAGAGCAAAGCTGTATCACATGCTCCGGTCGTTTTTTGCATCTCGGAATCTCCAGAAGATTTGAGAGACCCAAAGCCACAGGTGAAGACTCCTTTCAAGTCAACGGGGCATTCCCCTGCCCAGGCATAATAGTCCTAGCTACGGTTTGCACATCATCCAGCAAACTAAAGCAAATCTGGAATCGGCCCAGCAATTGTGGAGTCAATTCCGCGAGTGCACATAGGGATTCAAGTTGCCCCAAAGCCAAGCCCACCTCCCTCAGAATAAGCTCTTTCATTTCTGGGGTCGTGAGAAAAGCGCTCAGCTTGATGCGCAAAGGAGTCGATGCCTGTGGTTTTGGAACTGGGCAAACTTCCGAGTCTTCCACCCAGCAACTCAATCGAAAGCTGGAGCACTCCAGAACCCCTTCCCCGTCGAGCTGGCATTTGAATGTCATGCAGGAGAATACCGTCAAAATTTGGATGGTTTCCATCACCACCTCGAGATGTAGGGGGCTGTCAGCCCAAACAACTGCCAGCTTCATCAAGAGCTCCCGGATATTTTCGTTCTGGAAGTTGCTCATGTTAGCTAGTTCGCCGATGCCGTAGACACCCAAGAGGCTCTTCCACATGGTGAAAACATCCTCATAGGTGACCCTATTGAGCTCTGTGGGACGAATGTGCTTTGCCTGCTGTGCCATGGCATGAAAGAAACAATTTTCTGGGGGCTGGGAACCAGAGTTGCTAAAGGAATTTAGGAGCATTGTGTTCCAATGAACAGACTGAGGCCAGAGGCCGACTTTCACAAGTCTCCAACACCCCAAAATATGTCGAGACTCAGTGTGTGTTTTCCATAATGAAACGAAGCAGCTTCCTCAGACTCAGTGCGGGCTAAGCGTATTTTTCCTGCAGACCTACGAATGCCGGCTCAGATCCATGACTGATGCCAAACTCAGTCAAAGCTAACTGAGACCTGCTGCTTGGTCGTCGATCTAGCTGAATGCCGTTCACCGTTGCTGTGCGACCCCAAAACACTAAGTATGAAGTTTGTCGATTTGGTGGGAACTATAAATGGTCCATGTAACTGGGAACATGTTGTTCAACGGTGTTTCAGGCTTCCCCAAACTAGCTTGTTGTATTAGATCCGTCTCGATCTGGCCCCGGTTCATCATCCAAAATTGACCCTGAGGGCATCGAGAGACTGGCTGCAAAGAAACAGACAATGACAACAGGTGGATTGTTTGATACCTTTTGGATTACAAACAGTTATTCCTTTTTAAGATTCAATTCTCATCAGGTCAAAACACCATGCAACAACTCCCGAATCACAGGATAGGCTGCAGCCAATATAGTCTCTATGCGAGCTTCAAAGGTTTATCCTTCTGAAGCGTAAGAGAACGTGATGTGATCATGTAGGGCCGCTGGATCTTGAAATTTTGGCCCACACGTTCGAACCTGTACCGGAAAACGGTGACAGCCGACTCCTTGGGAAGGGTATGGCCGACACACTTTGAAAAGAAGTTCTTTGCGGTGATGCGTTCCTCCACCTTACCTTGCGCACCAAATGCTCGGGGATCCCGTAGGCAACGGAAAACCATGGCACTCTTCACCTTGATCTCAAAGCCATCCTCACCGGCCTCGACTGCAGCCTTCCGGTCGATCTGCAGGAACGAAAAGCGGTGTTCGGTAATGTTTTTCTGGCTTTCTGCTCTCAACAGTAGCTGGTATAGAGTCAGAGTTGAGAAACCTTGTGCTTCTGTTGAGAAGGAGCTTTCATCGATCTGTACAAGAGCGCGATCGTCCTTGCACACAAAGGGAACGCCCCCTTCAGAACACTCACCCTCTGGCATCCATTGGCCGGTTCCGTATCCGCCCAAGACAGAGTACTTGCTGAGTGTCTTTTGTTGGCTACTGACCAGCCACACCGATTTGTCAGCTCCAAGAATGAGTTCTACATGACTACACTCGCTGGGCACCCTCAGCTCAATTCCGATGGTTTCCTGCAGCTTGGCCACGGATTCCAGTTCTGTAGTCGGGGTGGTCGGAGGATTTTCCGGCTTCTCCCCCTCACCCGAAGCACTTGGCTCCTCAGGAGCAGCAGCGACTGCCACAGACTGACCCACCAAATCAAGGTGCCGATGCCGGAGGGCCTCATACTCGGTCAAGATGCCTCCTGTTTGTGAAGCCCAGAACCTGGCAAGCAATGATTCAAGACAATCAGTCATTTAAATTCAACTTTAGGTATTGATGGGGTTGAACAACAAACGCAGGCGAAGCTAATGATATTGACAGGCTGGTTGGAACAAAGAAATCATCATACTTTCTTGGTTGAAGTTGAAGCCCCCTTGTCAAATATGTTTGAATCTATAAAGTTCAAGGTGGAATTGGTAACCATGGTCCCCAAGCAATCATGACAAGGAACTTGTGCTCGTCAGACTTTATCAGCATCCGGTCATTGACCCTCTCCAGAACTTCGAATTTCAAGGAGTCCAGATTTCCCAATGATGCTTGGGCCCCTGGAATGCTATCGATTTCGGACTGGCTCAATTCTGGCACCTCCAAGCTGAAGCGCTGTCCACCATGCTCGAATTTCCGGCCAATCCATGAATCTGTCACTTCACGCGCGAGTCTGGCCTGACCGAAGGTGTCCTTCATGATCCATTGGACAGACTGGTAAAAGAGCATGTCCGTTTTGAAGCCACCTTTGAACTCTTTGTTGGCCAACCGCATTTGAAAAACCTAAGTGGCTTGGGCAGGTTGAGAGGTGCTGCGCAAATTTTCAGCCCTCCAAATCTTACACATGTTGTTTATGCTCCAATAGAAATAGATGGGAGGTGGTTGAAGTAACAACCAAAATCGGTGGACCATGGTTGAAGTTGTGCTTCCTACCACTACCAAAAGCCCCTTACAATAAGAAATGACCTTCTGAGGCTGGGCAACCTTTTTTTGGTTATAGTGGACATTGTGACCCAGTGTAAGTAACATTGTCCTGCCAAATGATTTTCCCCCAACTTTGCCAAAGGTCTCTATCATCTAATCTACTTTAATTAGGGATCGACGGAAGCTACAGGCTTGAACTCTTCAAATTCAGCCGCCAATGCGCTTCATTTGTGAAGCATTGGCCGCAACAACATAAAGAAAGTAAGGTGGGATATGTCTAGGAAAGCCTGCCTTTGTGCGCATTCCTTCTCCACCCTTTGCGATGTTGCGACATGGGCCAGGTTCTGTGTCTAAATACGCAGAAATCAGGCAAGCCTCTAGTGTCTCAATTTGTGCAAGCGAATTACTTGCGTGAATGCAACACATCTCACTAAAGTTGGCCTCCCTGTAGTATTGCACACGAACTTCCAAGCAGTGTGTGATGCCAATCTTGAACACGGCCAGTTGTGTTCCTCCGTGCTTTTCTCGAACTCGTTGAATTTGGTCCTGTTCGATTTGTCAATGTTTGTGTTTAGGGTTCTTGTTTAGTTTCAAGGGTTTTGTCATGTAGTGTTTTACTTTCTGCACACCGTATTCACACATGGTAGTTAGTGCACCAGTTAAAGAACATTATTGGCTTAACGGGCTTTGCTCTATTTTGTCAACGGACCAGTCCTTGCAATGATGAACTATGTGGCCAACAGTCAATGACGGTCGCTGTACCCGAATGGTCACTCCGGCGCTCTTTGGCAAATCTTGCCAACCCAGTGGTAGTGCTGAATGTGGAGATAGCTCAGTATGGTCACTATGAACATGCCCTTCTTGTGGAACTCTTGAAGTCACAGCATTGGATATCCCTAGGGGGCTATCCGGCTCATCGTGCCATGGCAAAATGCATTTTGCATTGTGGAAGAAACGCTCTGGGCCCGGAAGCATCATGGGGTAGCTCAGAGACTTAAGCCAAAACATTCTACCTCATCCACTCTTTTTGGGGTGTTTACCTTCAGAAGTAACAGCCCAGTGCCAGAAGTAACCCTGCCAAGCAACCGCACAGCCCACATCCTCAATGTACCCTGTGAGGTTCAAAACGATGCACGGTTTCCCCTTCATGTTCTCGCCATTGATGGTCAGCATGCTTTGCAGTAGCGCCTCCCACCTCCGTGTGCCTTTCTGTGCTTGGCACGCTTCGTGGCTGGGCCGTTGCCGCTCAGCCTGCTTCAAGTCAGACTCAGTGTCCAAGCTTTCGGGCAGGATCATGTCCTTGGATAGTGGCAACAGGATGTCATCATCAAATTGAAGTGGCCGGCCACATAGACCCAGCTCAGAGCTGGTGGTGAAGACATTCTCAGCCATGCTGTCGACATTGCATACCAATCGGCCCAGATTGAACCTCCTGAGGGCAAACGTGTTGGCCAATGTTGGGAACCCCATACTTTGAAGAAAACAATGTTTGGAACCCCAATGCGTTTCCTTCGGTACCTGGTTGAATTTGGACACCAGCTGCTATACCAACTTGAGGATTTAGTTGGTGTATGTGTCACAACATGTTAGTCAGTATGGTAAGTTGTGGAAGACTGGAACTTGTTTAAAGCAATCAGTTCAATTAAACTCCAAAGTGGCATCAGTATAAGACGTTGATACCCGGCCTGCGATTTGTCTGTGCCTCCGCCGTCGGGTGGACGTTGAAAGGACACACCCACCGGCTGTCGCAGCTTTGGCGAAGGGACCATAGGCAAGTTTGAAGCTCAGCTTCCTCATCTGCCAACCCTCTCTTGGATGATTTTTTTGCCACTTCTGGCAGTTCCATAAGTCCTGCTGACTTGTTGGGCGACAGGTCGTTTGCGAACTGCAAACATGAGCAAAGCTCTGACAGGGTTTCGCTGCTCTTGGCACCAGGCACATTGAGGTCAACAATGCAAATGCAGTAAAGGTCTTGATCAGCTGTGCATCCACAAGATTGGGCCTCCGAGAGCAATGAACACCCCTGAATTAGGATACTTGGGATAGAATGATTGGCATCAGTATCAGGGCTAACAGAACTTTTTGATCTTGTGGTCACAGCTGGGAGTAGAGAATGAAGGCAGAACAGAAGGTCTAAGTCTAAGTTGTTTTAGTGTCTTGACTCTTCTCAGTTCCAAGCAAAAAGTGAAAGAATATCAAAGTTGAGATAAATTTAAACCAGACTCCACGAAGGAGCGGAACTCATTGATCTTCTGCTGGGCCAGCTCAGGCTTGCCAACCAAATCGCAGCGGAGATATTTATCCATGTAGGACTTGATGACCTTTTCTCCAACCTTCGATTGCTCGAGACGCCATGCCACTTGCTTCCGGTGTTTCAATGCTTCCAGCTTCTTAGGAGCTTCCTGGGTCAACTGAAGTTTTTCTTGGTCACGAAGCAGTGCACTTTTGAAGAAATTCCATCGAGCTTCCCTCACTGCCAAGCGTTCCTTCTCAACCTCCATACTGGCCCCCTCTTCTTGAGCCCTGATGGCATCAAGTGCTTCTTTTTGAGCTGATGGTAGCATAGAAACACCGAATTGTGATGGCCGGCCATCAATCACTGCCTGCAACTCGTGATCCTTCGAGTTTCCCGTGCACAGTGCTTTCTGCAGCTCAGTGAAGTTCTTGATGCGGGTGGCACAGAAAGATCTAATCTGGGACCAGACACATAGTAGGTTCCTGAGGGCTAGAAGGTCTTCTTCCGACATTCGGTATTTTTTTCGATCTGCCGGCTGATCAATGATTGCCGTCGCCCTTTCAAAGGTCAACCGGATCCTGGTGAACAGAATTCCTTGTGTAAAGGCGTCGAGTGGGAGAGCCCAATTGATGGTCATGGTAGCCTCATGACTAGCTGGTGCCAACTCCGATGTTGTCATAGGGCTCAAACCCACTGTAGAGTCCAAGAACAAGAACTTCATGACACTGAGCTGCTCACCAAACGGTCCGAATTGGAATGGCCCGTCCCGCAAAGCGATTTGAACTTGCTCATGCGCTGCAGTTCCACATAGCTCAAGCCAATGCTTGATAGCGTACTGCTTCTTGGAATCCAACACCAGGGATCCTGCACCAGATTTGTCCTGGAAGAGCATCAGACATTGACATACATTTTGGTTGGGGTCATGCGCGATTCATGGGAATGATCGATGTTGATTAAAAAACCAAGAGGTTGTTCCACCGATTCAGTATTTTGTTGTTTTGAAATCAATGGCAATTAGTCTGAATGACCATTGTTTCTAGTGTACTATGCATCCCATGACCATTGGAATTGGCATTCAACTGTTGTGTTTTGATCACCCACCGATCCTTGCCAGAGCCATGTGCAGCGACCTCTGGATTGGAGTTGTACAAGTCGATGGCATCGCTCACCGTCAGTGCCTTGCCTTTAGGCTTTCCCTCAGCCAAGTTCCTCAAAATCATGGACCATTCATAGGAAGAAACTGCCTGCTTTTTGGAGTCCACGTTCTGTTTGATGATGCGGCGAATCATTCCCATGTTCTCATCAGCTGAAAGGTCTCGGTGAAAGGTTGGAATGGCAAGAAGGGATCTTGCCAGATCCGCCATAGCTGGATGTGAAAGATCTTCATCCTTCATGGTAGTGCCATGGTACAAAAGGCTGCACCAGATCAAGGCACATGCGAGGCCCCTCATACCTCCGTCATCGAAGTACAAAGTGTTCTGCAGAGAAGCATCCTGGAGATCTGTTGTCCCATCAGGTGGCATCCGCATACCCAAGATCTCACCCTGAGTGGCTGGGCGTGGTTCGTGCATGGGGTGTTTGGGTTTGGCACCCAAGGGATCTTGTCAGCTTATTTTGTCGCAAGGTGTCTTTCATCGGCCAACACTTACAAGACTACCATCCCTCAAATCAGAGGTTTTCAAACCCAAACACATTCTTCTTCTGAGTTGGTGCCAATCCATAAAAAACCTGGGGTTGACGGCTTGGGTCTGGGCGGCGAGCTATTTGTCTGGGTTTGGGCGGCGAGCTATTTGTCTGGGTTTGGGCGGCGAGCTATTGGGTTGGACCTGGGCGGCGAGCTCTTCCTGGAAGAGCTCTCCACCTCTCCACTAAACTTTGGAAAAAAGCAAACCAGGGCGGCGAGCTCTTCCTGGAAGAGCTCTCCACCCAGGCTCTCGGGGGACTTTGGTCAGATTTGGCCAATTCCAGTGGTATGTATTCCCCTTATTCATTCCTTATCATTCCCAATCATTCCCCCTTCAAAGCCAGAGCCAGCTCTCCCCTGGGTAGATTGGCCCTAGTAGTCCTAAGTATTGGGGCGGCGAGCTCTTCCTGGAAGAGCTCTCCACCCAGGGTCGGTTTTGAAATCCTCAAAGCGGCGAGCTCTTTAAGGAATCTAATAATAAAATCTCAATATTTTCTCCATCCCTTCAACTAAGTCTATTTTCCAGTTCTGGGGCTCCAGTTGCCTTTAGTTTGAATTTAGCTGAACCCCCTGCTGCCCCCCACCACAACCAGTTTTTCTCTTTGTTTCCCGTAATCATCAATTTGTCCAAGATGCCTCGCGCCAACCCACAAGGGCGATGCTCTTCGCTATGTCCATGACTGTCGCCATATCTGGCAACCGCCAGAAGCTGTCGTTGGCGAAGCTCCACTGCAAAATGCTCGTGTTGAAGAAGCCTCCTCGGCTGAAGTCCTGAAAGGTTAGAGTCACAGATTGCATTCTATTGGTCGTTGGTTGGAACTACCCAGCTGAAACCGCTAAGTGTTCTATTCCGCTAAGTGGAATTGAGCTGAAGCATGTCATATTGTCTTGCAGATCACATGGTGGGTGGAAGGAACAATTAATTTTTGGGTACACCACCGCGAAGTGACACCTTTTGAAACATGTTGAAACCCAAATTTAGAGCCAACTGGTCCTGGGGAGAAAGATATTTGGCAGCAAAGTCTTCCTCGGTGGTAGAGCTATCAACAATCCCGAGCCTCTTCACAAGGGTGAGGCTGTCGCTCAGCAATGCCTCTTCATCACACCAGCACCTCTGGACCACGTCTAAAAAGGATCCCCCTTCTAGTAGTGGCCATTTCCTCTTCTCTGGATAGCCGTGGCGGCCTTGATAAAGAAGGGTCACCCACTCCTTGAGTTGGATCCGCCCCGCCGACACTTCAGAGATGGTTTGAGGCTGGACGCCTTTGAAGTTCGAGGCTGCGATCTTTTGCTTCTTTTTGGGTGGCATGGCTTCCTAGTACCGACTGCAACCGGTTTGAGATCGTGCCCAGAACTGCGCAGTAGCAAAACACATCTGTCACATCTAGCATGGTCCAGGAACCTAGCTGTGAAAAAACTGCAGCTTGAAATGCTAGAGACATGCTTTAGCCAAAAAAATATCATCCGCACTGTGCGCACTGAAGCATCTTGTTTACAAACTCCTTGAACACCACATCTTTCAAAACACCGTTCAAATACTACGTACATTCCAACAAACAGAATGAAGAAGAAGCGCGGTGTTGCTCCAGGGTTTTGCCGAGGAAGTGCGGGTCACTGCGTCTCCTGCTTAATTGGGGATGATTCCTACCATCCACAAGAATAGCTAAACTAATTGAACCCAGACGCCACAGGTTCAGTGGCTACCAGGAATTTAATCCTCACCAACACCCGCCAACACGATTGGTGGCGTTGGCATGCACCCAGCCCATCATTGCTCCCTTCACTTCTCAAGGACGTGGCCTCCAATTGGCAAGAATGGAAGCCAGTGCTGCGAGGTGCACTGGGACACTGAACCTTACAGGGCTGGCAGCAAAAAACAGGAAATTATATTCCTATAATTTAAGTTATATTGTGGAGACAGATGGCTAGTTGTTTTCAGGAAGGTCGCTTCCCATATATAGTATTATTGTACTTATTCTATAGATTGGAGACTTTTGGCAGGACCATCCATGGAATGATTTGAACGCATCAATCTCAAGCCAAGGGGCGCATTCCCAATGAAAGAGCGCATCGAGTGGTCAGACTTGTCCGCCATGCGATACTTGAGCCACTCTGTAGTTCCCACACCCTGGAGGCGCGCAAGCTCCTGGTGCACGTGGTGGGAATCTGGCCTATTTCATATGCAAAGAAACTTGTGCAATGCAAGGGAAGGGAAGGCCTTGTGGGCACTGATTTGGGAGCCATGGATTGTGGGAATCCTGATGTATGTAGCACGTAGTCAGTCAGTGGTCTTGGTATACCTTGTGCTTTCATTAGATGAAAAACAAGTGGATGTGCATGGCGCTATTGTTGATTCCCCTGTTGGAGTGATGATCCAATTACCGCCTTATTGAATCCATTGCCAATGACCCCCCAAGCAGCCCCATGAGCATCCTTGGCCGAGAGGATATGAAATCCACCAGGCCCTGTGGCCACATACTTTCCGCCAGGAATGATACATGTCATAGTCGACACATCCGATCTTGGGAAGGTGGCGCGATCAAAGTTCTGGTCCTAAGCAGCAGTAGGCAAGCCCACGGGGGACAGTACTTGGAACAATAAGTTTGGTCGGTTTTGATTTGCAATTCTCCGAAACACCCCGCACTAGCAAACTAAGAACAACTCAAGTGGATCCGAATCCAAAGCCAAGTAGTTTAATCTGATCATTTGGTGATCTCCATTTGCTTTCTTGGAGGGAAAGAAACATTCATTGTCGGCCCGTCTTGGTCATTCAAACTCCACTGAAATCCAACAAAGAGTCAACTTGTATGACTGCCAATTGCTTCATGGCATCAAACCCTTTGTTGATGGCAAGGTCCTCCACAGCCACAGCCAGAATGCTAAGCTCCCTATCGCTGCATCCAACCGCCAGCTGTTTGAGTTCTGCAACACGCTTCTGAAGCTTCACCTGGGGTTCCGTTTGGAAACCGCAGGACTACCTGGTGTAGGCCCCTGTTGAAAAAATCATGAGGGGTTTGGACCATTGGATTTAACAAGTACCTGGCCTTCCCATAGACCTCGCATTGTTGGGCGAATCCCTGTTCCCACTTCTTCTCCTTGGTGATGTCCCTCTTAGATTTCCTTGAAAGAGAGCCACTGGTCACCGGGTTTTGGGTTGACTCCAAACAGGCGCTCAGGGGAACATTGCACCGCTGGAAACGGTTGACATCCAAGGTTAGAGCAGCAGCCGAACACTGGACTTCATCCTCAAGGTGGCAAAGAATCCAGGCCCGTCGCCTCTGCTGCGGTAGTCCGAAGTCCGCAGTGTTGTGCATCCCTGCGGCCACCGAGTACCCCAACCTGTTCAAGCGTTTCTGGATGATGGAATACCTGAGCTTGCATGGAAGATTGCCCGGGTTGTAGCATGTTGAGACAAAGAAAGTCAAGCGTAAAAATTGTCAACTACATTTCAAGGAACGCAGTTTCACCACCTTCCACTTGCCTTTTGGAAAACAGACTGGCAACGTTCTCAAGGAGAATCATGTTGGGCTTGTGTTTCTTGACATAAGTCTCCAAGCCAAGAAAGCCCCGGCCAGACGAGCATTGTGAGTCCACTACGCTCCCTGGTGTCGTTGTCAAATTTGATAGGCTCACGCAAGGAAAACCGCCCACCAATAGATCTACCTGGAGGGGTGCGGTGTAAGCGTGATAAATCTGTGGGATTTGGGGCTTATTGGTGTCCCATCTTCAAAAACCCCACCCTTTTGACAAACTGCACCAGCAACTACAAAGCTTCCGTTCATTAATAGTGAGACTTCAACTCACGCCTTGGGGACTTTAGCAGCCTTACCATCATTCCATGTTGGTGCGAAGGCTTTCCCCATGTCCGACACATCCTGGAACACTGAAGTTCCAGGAAACCTGGACATCAAGTACTCCGACTTCGCTTCGTCGATTTCTACCATGAAGCAAAGCTGCACCTGGCGCAAGTTGGGCGGCTGGCGTGTGGAAGTGAATGCTGGTCCCTGGTACACCCAGAGGTTGGTGGACATGTAACACATGTCATGTTTTTTCATAGCGGAGCTTGGAATAGATAGAACATGATAGATGCTGATATGATAGGGATGCTTCGAATATGGAGAATCATGGCCGAACCTAGTTGGGTTTCATCTGGTTTCTATTCCTCTACCTCCCTAATGTTCCCCAAGTTGTCTTTGGCTCGGCTAGATGTTGATTAGTACAAAATCAACAATTTCCACAATCCGAATTGGAAGTTTGCCATTGGGATCAGCTGCTAAGTTGTTGTTGTTGATGTTGCATGATGGATACAACTTAATTGCAAAATAGCTAAAACATGGAAGACGGTAATGAATAAACCTTGGTCAGGGAGTCGTTTTTGACCACACATGGTCACCCACATGTTTTGCGCACGAAAACCGACACTACAAGCACAGCCTCAAGGAGGGCATCAGAGGGTGTGGAACAAGCTGCATTCCATTCAGCCTTCAATGCATCCAATACCATCTCTAGTACTGCCCATCCAGTAAACATGCTCCCAACTTTGAGGACATCGATCTGGCTAAAGGTGTGCACCAGCTTTCTCCGAATGCATTCGAACTCCGGATTGTGGACAAAATCGGCGACAAAGCTATCCACCTAAAGTGGCAAACGATTTCCACCAAGGGTTGCCTTCCTGCATTTGAATTTGAAGTAGAGGTAAAAATCAATGTTCTCCAGGACCCCCAAAGATTCCTAAAGTTTGCAGTCCCACAACGGCCTTTCAACTTAACAAATCATCCAAATCGACCTCTCCCTGTTACAAATAGGGATATATCCACAAAACTTTGGATCTTGGAATAATGGTGGAATTTGACATTGACCATCACTTAAACCAAGATACCCCTGGTTCTCCTGGAATGCGAAAGAGCTTTCCATACTTGGATGTCTGGACATCAGCCGCCGCTTCCTCCTCCGATGAAGCCAGAAGCAAGGATGGTGAACTGCGGTCGCCAGGATCTTGACCTGGCTGGGCAGTGACAGTGGTATTAAAACAAACTCCTCTCTTAGAGACCACTACTTTCGACACTTCAATTGCTACCGACCCCATGCCGTGGAAGAAATCCTTTGTGTTTCTTCCCCTGCAAATTCCCACGTGGTTGTGCATCCCTGACCCCTGATGACTCCTGCCTTCACAATCCGAACTGAAAAGAATCTCTTCTTGGAGGGAATCCGCATGTTCCTCCTCTTTTGAGCTCCTGGCAAGCCGGCTGGTTGCAATTTCTGGATGGGTTGGTAATGACGCATCGGTTTGAATACTATGTTCCTCCAATTTCAACAAGAAAAGAATTGTCTTGCTTGCTACCCACAAATTGTTGATGCAACGAAGTCAAGCAAAGTACATTCATGAGGATTGGAAAGGACATGGACAGGGAGCATTCTGCTTTCTCCTAGGGCCCCAAAAGATTTACATCGGTTACTCGTGCTTGACTGCTCGACTCTCATTTCTTGATGATTTTTGGGAAAGGAAGCAAACATGCATGGCATGACATCGATTGTAGAGTAAAAGACAGTCAGGCACTCCTTTTTGCGAGCATCCCCCAAAACACTCAATCTGCCAGTGCGATGGGTAGATTCACTGGCCCATCAGAATCGGAGCTGTCACTATCCACATGGTCACCCGCCAGCGTGAGATCAAAGTGTTTCACACGCCGTGGCTGTTGCCATCTTCCCGGCTCATGGCGTTCCGAGCGCATGTCCTGAGACCACCTATGGCCCAAAAATGTGTAGGAGGCAGGTCTGGGTTTTCGAGGCAATGTGCCTCGACTCCAACCAAGCAAGTACCGGGCACCCTCCTCCGATACTTCACCGCTTCGTACACAGATTGGGACCCGTTTCTGCAGATTTTTTTGGACTTGTTCACCGATAGTTCTTCTGTTGGCAATGCCTCCTGGGGGATGATGTCCACACCTGATTTGATGAGCCATCGAAGCTGGTACAGCCACCAATGCACGTGTGACCTCGGTGTCTGACAGCCACTTTTTGGTCACCAAAAAAACATCATCAGCGTGAGGTTCCCATCGCCCCCCATACTCCTCCAACTCCTGCACATTGTCCAGAACATCAGACCCGAGGTCTCTCCGACAACAAAATCTCATGTAGTGGACGTTTCTCAGGCCTTTGAAGGAGAGTCCAAGCTGGGCCACAAATTTTTTCCAGGCAGTCACCTCATCGAGCTTCGAAACCGAAGCTTCAGAACCGCGAATGCGCCCTGACCTCTCTGCTGGCTGCCCATTGTCAATGCATTGTTCTAAAACATTGATCATTTGGGATGCCGATTGACATGTTTTGCCCATCAGCAGCCGGGCTACTTGTCCGAAGACTTGATCGACATCATCATGGCTATGAGCCGTTCTCAAGAACCCCAACACTGTGTATCGGAATACTCCCAGGACTTGTAGCAGCAGCATAAACCCCAGAACGTAGCGGTTCTTCCCTTCTCGAGGGCAGTTGTCTTGCTGGAGATGCAGTGTCATTGCCAACGAAGCGCCGTGATCAAAAAGATGCTGGAGGGAAAGGCACAGGGCTTCTAGCTGTGTTTCGGAATCTTTCTTCAAATCTTCGTCTGACAAATATAGATATAGCCGGAAGCCATGTATCCATGATGCCAACAGGTGGGTCGCAGGTCTGTATAACTTGGTTGCTGCTTTACTCAGCTTGGAGTAACCCCACTTTGGAAGACGCAGTTTTGCCTGGTCCATGCCGTCCTGTATTACAGTGACCACAGAAGAGGCTAGATCCGATCCAGACAATCGCTTGCTGAAGTGAAGGGCTTGTTGGAAATAGTTGCGGCTCAATGCCCTCATATTCCAATAAAACTGTCTATCTGCCCATTGTTGGAGCAAGTGTTGGCTGTAAATTCGAACGTTCATTGCCCTTGCACTTTTTGTAGTCGCGGTCCGAATGCGCTTGCGAAGCCGGTGACATGTGTCACATTGACCAAAGTCCCCTTTGTCTCTGAACTTCAAGTGTGATGAAAAAACTCTCTTCATCACTCTCCGGAAAGTGCTGAATGCAGCAGGGTCCAAACCAGAAGCCTCACAAAAAGCCTGGTACTGCCAAAAGAGGTCCATCGGCCTTTGCCATTCTAGGTATCGCCGTGGCCCCTCAAAAGCACCAGGTCCACCATGGGCAACCTTGGCACTGTGTGGTTTACAAGATGCAGGACACACTATGTTGATGTCAACAACCAAATATGATGATACTGGATTGGAATTGGCCTAGACCCTACAAGATGGTAAAAGGGTTATCTAAAGTCCAATCACAAGGGACGGGGTTCATGTCATAGTTCCGCTCCAAGCAAGCCAAGAAATTCTGAACATACCTTTCTTGGAAATCAGGGTCTTTGGACATGCGAGATTCAGACAGGTTCTCGTCCTGTCGTCCAGGCATCATAAATTTGATCGGAAGAATCTCCGCGCAACTGATCCAAAGGAGCCAAAAGAAGGACATGATCGATGGCCACTTCTTGTTCTCAGCACACCGAACCATTGACACCCCAAGAGAAGGGTGCTGTGGTTCACGAAGGCGCCCTGAGTGCATGGTGAATCCTTTGTTTCCAGCGCGCATGTTTTGCAGTGCACTAGAGCCGATGGCATAAAGTCTCATGTGGGCATATCTGCACACAGGGCGCTGGAGGAACGTCAGCTGGTGGTTTGCAGTCCGTTGATCTGAGTATCTACGAGCCTTTTTTTGCGGTGGCTGTGAACACTCTTTCTCCGACTCAGTTTCCAGCAGTAGCTCCCCATCGCTGCAAGTCGGAGTGGCCACCAGATTCTCTTGATCAGAATCACTTTGAAGCAAAATATCACCCTCCCCTTCCGAGTCTGTGGCAATGAGCACATTGGAAATAGGGACAACCCGGCTTCAAAGCTTGTGGCAGGTTCAACGTCCACATGGTACCACGTCTTCAATAAAGCTTCCTGGCAATGTGGCGCAAACCCTATAGGGAACCCCAATACAGCCAGAACACAGTAGGCCACACCAGACTGAGATTGCTTGTTCTTGGAAAACATATTATTTAAACCTAACAAAACTTTTGAAGGACTCACTAAGTGTACGACAATAAATACAGCGTTCTTTTCCATTCCAGTCCTTGTGGTCTGCATCTAAAGCAGAGAATCGATTCCGCTCTTGCTGAACCTCTGCAGCTGCGTCGGCAAATTGTTGGAAACACTTCACCTGTGTGCATGTGCACTTTCGCGACAAGAGTGTGCAAATTGCCACTCTGGACGGCATTGCTCGCACAGCAATGGTTGACGGATGACATGCAGTGATGCCCGCTATTTCATCAGTTCCTAAGAAAAATAAAGGATGTCATTCATAATGTTTGTCGTCCAGTAGTGCTAACTGCTGCCACCCAGTAGTGCTAACTGCTGCCACCCAAGCTACCGTGACCGTGTTTGCTTTATGTCTCTGACGTGCTCACCTTTTCTTATAATATATTATGTTTTGCGCTGGCTGCTTTTGAACCAGGCTCAGGCCACAAATAAGCCTTGCAATCTTTACCAGAATGCTTACCCCAGCAGCTCCCTCAGCAGTCCTGGACGGCTTCTTCAATGACTTTGCTGGCTTCTTCAGCATTGATGAAGATGCCGATGGCCGCTTCATGGGCTCTGCACAACCCTTTCGAACTCTTTTGGGCAGCAATGGGCTGTGGAGTCCGAACAAAGGTAAAAATAAACAACAAATAACAACAACTGAACTCATCGAGAACCTCGTGGAACCAAAACCTGAAAAGACTAACTTTTGTGAAACTTCCTTATATATATATTATCAACGTATCAGCCATAGTTGCTGCAGTTTTCCCTGGACCGACCCCTTGATGGGCCTAATGCAGCTAGCTTCAATTGGGATTCTGCCATGCAAAAAGAAATACATAATCTGCGTCAAAATTGGAGGCCAGCAAAGGACATGCGGCAAACGCCAAAGAACGAAATCGTACTACTATGTAATATACATATGATTGTTGGGAAGAACAGGCAACAACGCAATAAACATCAACATCCCTAAAGCCACCTATTCTTGGGCCCTCCCAAAATCGGCCAAAAGGAGGACCACCAGAGAATTCCTCGTCAAATCCGGTGAATTCCCCCATGCCAACCTTGGCGCTATGCAGCCCTTTCAGCGCTGCTTGGATCACTTGTGCCTCCGGAGTGGATTTCGCTCAATCCATCCGTCGCCGGGCGGCCCGGATCGCACGTCACGAGCGAAGGAACCCACAGAAACTACAGGATGAAGAGATATCACAATCATATGTTTCTAGACTGGATTGGATCCTGAATGCACGTGGTTCAGGTCGTGAATGGACTGGCTCATCCGCTGCCGGAACAGCATCCGTGCTTTGTACTGAACAGCATCCCTTCGCACTCCTTCGGCAGCGGACCAACAACCATAGACTCCCCAGGATTCTATCAAGATTCTATCACTACATGACCGCCAATCCACGAAGAGAAATGAACATCGATCATCTTCCGGCCCTTTTTCAACACGTAGGTGTTTAAGTCGCTAGCCATGACTTCATGAGGTGAGGGACTGCCTATCGTGGTAGGTGAATATCACATGTGGTTCAGGTGAGCGGAAAAAAAACCTGAGAAAACGATTCTTCAGTTGGATCCAGTATTTTGTTGCTTTCGGCTCTTCGCTTCTCCATCAGTCGATTCGCGATTCGATGGATACATCAGTCGATTCGTGGGGACGCGTTGGAATGCTCGAAGATCGCCACCACAGCTGCGAACCGAATAGAAAACACACGTGTAGATTTCCTTGTAAAACAATGTAAAAACGCATCTAGTCGTGCGGTGGTGATGAATGATCATGAGTACAACACATGCAAATGATATATATAATATAATGACATATGTATATATTTATATATATGACATAGTTATTCTTATGTTATTTTTATTTTTGTTATGTGTATTCTTATTAACATATGGACTTACCGTGACTTCCCAACATCCGGCTGACCTATCAACTGCGACCGCGCGAACTTCTTCATCCAAATCAAGAATGATCTATATAGATTTGTTTGTTGAAGAATGTGTCCCT